TTTGTAAGAAGGCCCCCATACACATGAAGAAGACAAAACTGTTATCGGAGTTGATGAAACACTAATCTAAGGGTCTTTGCATGATGCCATTCAACAGGACCAAAGCATCCCTATAAAACGGGTTCATAACAACTTTGCGAGAAACGTGGCATGAGCAGGAGGGGATTGAGAGTATATTCCTGAATTCTACAGAGTCCGTTCCTCAATGATAGCACTCGACTTGCGCACGTACCTACAGTGCCTCATAATATTGACAGTGTACAGAAATATATTACGACGGGACTTTCCGAACGTGCACTTAGCCATATGCACAATACTTTACAATTCTGGGAGTTTTGGAATAGGGTGCTGTGTTTGTGAACTGTCTAATGACTGTTCGCATTTGGGCGACTGCATACATGTTTTGCAAATACTGAAAATCAAAAATTCGCCAAATCAATAGCACAGTTTGTGCCTAAGAAAAGTCATCTGTGACTTTGAGCTCGCTCTGTTAGCAGCAATTGATACAGATTTACCACACGCTAACATTACAGGCATAAACTGACGAGTTTTTGTAAGAGATAAATTAGTCCTGGTAAAATGTGTCCGGGGGACAAATATTAATAGAATAAAAAGTCCAAGGTTACAGAATTTACTAGTATATTTAGTCTGGTGTCAGTAATTTATGTCCCCAGACTAATTTTCCTAGGAATTTATGTACATGTCATCAATATGCCTAGGTAAAAACGTCCATGTCCTTTATTTTACTAGGAAAATGAGTAATAAAAGAAATCATGGACATAAACAATGGAATTTTTAATTCTTATGTTTTAATGTTGTTTAACAGTTGTGCATTAATCTTTTAATATGATGTACATAATTACAAATGTTCCTATCTTAATTTTAATACTGATTAGAATGTCTTAAAGGGGCACTAGCTACAAGATATATAACAAATATAGAAATGTATCCAGGGACTTAATTTCCTAGTAAAATTATGATCACGGACTTGATTACCGAGGAAAAAATGTTTGGCAGACAAATTTGACTACCGGACTGAATTTACTGTTACTTTTTAAGTCATTTTCCTGAAATTTCAACTTTGCATTTTAATGTTTTCAATTATCACCAAAATATCTTAATTTACCCTACTCCACTTGGAAGGCAGCAGCATATTGTTGAAAGTCATCACAATATAATTTAAACTTGTTACCAGTCTAATCATGCTAAGTATTTTGCTGCCGCATGTGAACAGTTTTGGCCACAGACCACAATTAAATTCTCTATTAGTTCTTTATAACGTTTTGTTTCATTAAAAAAAATGCTCCGGTTCTTTTTGTCAAATATTTTGTGTGTGTAAAGTACAGTACTAGTCCAAACATATATCAAACATTCAGAAATATCGCTCCCCAGCATCTTACAATTTTAGCCAATACACATCCATACCCCTATGGACAAGTCAAGAGATGTTCCGAAAACTGTAAATATCACCTTTTTGCACCTGGCCTAATTACTCTTTCCATATCAAAATCAGTTAAAATACAACATCCAAAAGTTTATTTCACCTCTCTTCTTTCATTTCCATCCAAAAAAATCTAAGAAATGAGTGAGGAAGGGAAAGAAAAAAAATTAAGAAAAAATACACTCTAATTAAAAGGAATTATATTCGTGGACAACGAAAAGCGGGATCATTAATTGTGGTCTTTGGCCTATTAGGGGTCTAAACCTTGACCAATTCTAATAAAACTTGGTATGATTTAAGCTTAGTGTACTATGAAACAGTTTACAAAGTTTCAAAGCCATATGATACCAATTATAAAAATTGTGGCATTTTTTATATCTGAACTTTGGGTGCTGAATTGTGGCGTTGAATTAGAATAATTTCAACTATCAAATTTGGGCTTCTAAAAACCAAAATATACCAAAACTTACACTTTTTAATGTCTCTATGTATAAGTTATCACCTATTAAAAGCAACAGATAGCATACTTCATGTTTCAGACTTATAAAAAATGGCCAGAAGTAAATTTCATATGGGCCTGTGCCAAAAAATAGAGGTTTTCAAATGAAGTGAGGCCTTATATGCAATGTAATATTTTTCACTTACCACAATTTTCTGAAGTTGCTAAGTTATAAAAAAACCTTTTACATGTTATAAATGTACTTTTAATGGAAATATAAGTTTCAAATAGCATAACACATGTGAATAAAATGGTCTTCAGCAATGTCAAGCTTAAAAAAACAGGTTGTCAATTTAGGTCGTTCCCCACATTTGCATATTAAAAAGCATATAAATGATATGGGAGATGAAGATATGCTTCCTTTTGCTCAAATCTTTGCTCAGATATGATAAAACATGGAGCCTGGATGTAACAAGACTGTCACTTTCAACTATATATGTAGACAGTATGATCTAATGCAAAGTTATTTACTTTACTTTTTAAAACCGGCATGAAATTTCAGCCTCAAAAGGCCAATATTTTAACCACTAGCTATCAAACAAAAGAAAATAAAGGTAGTCTGTGAAACAGACAAGGTCAAACAACCAGTAATAAGTGCTTTTGATACAGTTTCAGTGAAATCTGCTAAAAGGACTTCAACTTGTATGTGCATAGAACCTCATTTTTCACTTGCTTCATACTGACCGTTAGACTAGGACCATTAAAGCAGCACATTTTGCACTCTTATTCTGATTTTATCTACTTTTTTTGTATGTTTAGTGTTCAAAAATGAGTTAAACATCTACATTAGATACCACAAACACAAGTAGAAAATCAGAAAAACCTGTGAGAGAGAAAGTAAGCATGCTACTTTTGTAAAAATATTGAAACAACTGAAAAAGTTCAATTTTGGGCATGTAGGCTGAAATGTCACTTTTTTACAAAATTTCTATCAAATAAAAGTGGAAATCATTTATTCTCATGTAGTTTGACAAATTAATACCAATATATCATTCAGGGAAGTTGTCAAAGTACAAATTCAATATTTCCTGAATTTCACCTCTTAGGCCACAGACCACAATTAAATTCTCTATTAGTTCTTTATAACGTTTTGTTTCATTAAAAAAAATGCTCCGGTTCTTTTTGTCAAATATTTTGTGTGTGTAAAGTACAGTACTAGTCCAAACATATATCAAACATTCAGAAATATCGCTCCCCAGCATCTTACAATTTTAGCCAATACACATCCATACCCCTATGGACAAGTCAAGAGATGTTCCGAAAACTGTAAATATCACCTTTTTGCACCTGGCCTAATTACTCTTTCCATATCAAAATCAGTTAAAATACAACATCCAAAAGTTTATTTCACCTCTCTTCTTTCATTTCCATCCAAAAAAATCTAAGAAATGAGTGAGGAAGGGAAAGAAAAAAAATTAAGAAAAAATACACTCTAATTAAAAGGAATTATATTCGTGGACAACGAAAAGCGGGATCATTAATTGTGGTCTTTGGCCTTTTAAGTGATCATATTGTATGGAAAGCCTATCTAACATTATAATGATGTAACCGTGCTATCTTAACTCAATATCATAAACTTTCAACTGTACATCATGTAGTTTTAAGTGATTATATTTTATGGTAAGCTCATCGTGACATTATAATGATATAACATCGTTCTATCTTAGCTCAACATCATAAACTTTCAACTATACGTCGTGTAGTTTTAAGTGATCCTATTGTATGGTAAGCCTATCGTGATATTATTGATATGACATCTTGTTATCTTAGCTTAACATCCTGTACTTTCAACTGTGCTTCATGTAGTTTTATGTCAACATATTGAATGGTAAGCCTATCTTAACATTATAGTGATAAAGCATCGTGCTATCTTAGCTTAACATCATTTACTTTCATCTGTACATTGTATAGTTTAAAGAAGGCATATTTTATGTTAAGCCTTTTGTTTCATTAGAGTGATGAAGCAATGTGCTATCTCAGCTTAATATCATGTACTTTCAACTTTACATCGTATAGTTTTAAATCAACATATTGAATGATAAACCTATGGCTGTGTTTATTAGCAAGAAGGGTGATTGCATTGAAAACATCTTTAGCACTAAATAAAATATGTTATTTGGTTTTATTGTGATTTAACAATTGAATGCTTCTTTTTGTAAATTTATTGGGGTGTAAAAGCATTGACCGAAGTACATTTTGTATGAAGCGTGCAAGCGCTTCATTCTAAAAATGTGTGCAGGGTCAATGCTTTACAACCCTATAAAATTACTAAATGCATACCTGCCAACTTTTCAAAATCTCAATGGGGGATTCTAAGCGCAAGAGGACCTCATGCTCCTCTTAATCATTGCCACAAGTGTTCTTAATTTACTTGTATATTGTTTGATTGAGTTTATATGTGCTTCAATACCCTTTTAACTCATTTGAATTTCAAAATTCAGTTCAACATCTCTCATGGGGGATTTCCCCCATAAATCGGGATAGTTGGCAGGTTTGTAAATGAAGCATTCAATACTTATAATTTCATTTTTTGCTAGGTTATGAAAACACGATTTCTTTTATTTACCTGTGCACTTAATTGTGGAAGCTCATGTCATCATGAATGTTATATTTCATTTTGAAATGAAGGTTAATTTCAGAATGACCTGAGATTGCTGTTTGCCAATCAAAATATCGTATCATAATGAAACATACACGTAATGTAATTATTACCAATTAAATCACAAATATTTTGGTCTTCAGTCATTTTTTTCATTTTCACTGGAATTTCTGGAAAAAGGCGCTATTAATTAAAATTACGTCATTAATCTGCTGTAAAACAAGAAATTGTCAGTTCTTGACATTTCCTAGTTGTTAGACAGAAATTGCAATGTACGAATATTTGATGAACCGGGCAAAAAAAAATAGAAACAGATGATTTCCTTTGAATGGTATATGATTAAGCTCTAAGTTCAATGGGTGCATTAAAAATGAAATTTGATGGTTAATGTCACTCGATTACACACCTTTAAACATTGCCAAGATGATGAAGTACATCTTGTGAAAGTAATTTCAAACAAGTTAGTGGTTTCTTTTTTATTATGCACAAATAGTACATTATATACAAATTAATTCAATACTGTACAACTTTCAATATATTCACATTAAAAAATCATAATTTTTTTTAATAATATGTTATAAGTTATTACTTAAATGTGCTTACAAAAGCTATCATTTGCTTACAACACAAATATTCAATTTGTTAAAAGGCTACTGAAACAAGTCATAAAAAAGTTATCAAATAAATAGTTTACCATCATGCTTTATTCTTCAACAGAAACAATTAACATGGAGTAAGGTAATCATCATAATCAACACCGCCGTTTCTGGAGAATTCAATAATACCAACACAAGATGTGATCGTTTGTGTAGTAAACATTTTTTTTTAAAGAAAATGTTTATTTGGGAACAGATTGACTTATAAGAGAGTTTATTGTACGCCTAGTCGAACTATTAGTACCTAGGTAATTGCTATTGCTTTTGACTTTTTATAGTTTTAATTATTTCAGATAATCTGAATCAACAAACATAATAAATAAAACATGACACCTTCATGTAAGAATATCAAGTAAGGCAAAAGCTTTAAAAAGTATTCTGTAAATCTAACAAGTTAAAAATCACAGACCCAAATTTAATAGACACAAAGTCCTTATGTTAAGGATGTACTAAGGTGAAATTAAGAAAATCTAGAATTTAAAATTGATACTATAAGTCAGAAGAGCATTAGTTAAGGAACAAAATAAGCTAAAAATATTGATAGGTTATGGAGCTCCTTTTCGAAGTATTTGATTTTTTAAAAATGGTGGGAAAAGGCTGACTCAGACTTTTACCTTATATTTGCATTGGTATTATTTGGGTCTCAAATCGAAAGAAAAAAAAATATAGAATCTGCTTAAATTGTGGTAAAAGAACTTTTATGAGCTATTGAAGTCTTATATATGAAAAGAAAAATGGGTGTTATGGGGCAAAATATTTGAAATTGTTTCACATTTTGTCATGTGATGGCATTGTTGGAAGGTTGTATGGTCATGATTATTTGTTTTTCATCATTGTCCTTTGATCTCTGGTGGATAGTTGTCTCATTTGCAAACATACCACATTTCATTATTTTCATAATGCTCCTATCCATCTAAGGTCAGTTTTACCTAAAGTAGATCAAACATTAATTCTTATATTATAAATGTCAAAAAACATAATAGTTATAATTATGATTATATGCCAGGATGACAATAACAATAATCAAAATTAATATTTCTCTTCTTTCAATACTTTTTCTGTTTGAAAATGTAAAATGACTGCATTAATTAATCAATATTTTTTTGGTTTGTAGTCGAATAGTAGTTCTAATGCAACATTTCTGTTGACAGATTTTGATGAACAAATTTCATGACCTTAATTTTCTTAATTGACATTTCCGAGATTCTACATCTGGTTGCAATAAATTATGGAGATGTTGCAACAATGCAAGTATCTTTATATATATATTTATTGACAACTTCAGTTTTGATTCTGTTTTTTTTTTGTAACAAAACTAATTTATGACTTGTAAAATTCACCCTAAAAATCACAGCATTAATTTGGCAAAATGGAATATATACATTAAATTTTGTTTGTAATCTTCAAATGTAATTTGTACTCCATATCAACTGGCAGAAAATTTGAGATGATTGAAGCTCATATGGCTTGTTTCACATATTTTTAGAATACAAAATTCTATAAGTAAAATAATTTAATTTCAGCTACCAGGTAAGCAAAATTAATTGAAAAATTATTTTCTGAAAAAGGTGCGTTTTATATACTAGCTATATGGAAAGACAATATCGTAGTTACAAACAGAAGCGACAACACTTTTTACTTTAAACAGAAATTTATATTTTCTTAAACATGCAGAGCCATTGTGCTCGGTTTTTCTAAATGAGCAAAGCTAACGCACATCACTACTTATGATTTCTCTTGAAAAATATATGGTGTTCTATTTTTAAGGGACTCTCTGGAAATTACTGGCTCTGCAGGAATCTGTAAAAGTCGAAAAGGTAACCTTAACAATTTGTAAAAACAATAAGGCTATAAAATTGGTTTTCTGTTCTGGGTTTCTATTGTTCTGTAAGGAAAATTAGCATTCAAAGTTAAGCTGAACCAAGTAGGTAATCACTTATGCAATAATATACTAAATATAATCATCATGATTTTTCACTACAACTTCAGTTAATGAAGATTTATTTATTTTCGTGAGTACAAATTTACGTTGATAAACTAAAGGAAAAATTGTATTTTCATGGTTATTTGATCTTGTGGTTTTACAAAAGTCTGTATAGAAGCCCATAGAAAATTTGTACTGGTTGAACATTTAAATAAGTGCTTAAATCTGTACCCTTGAAGTCCACAAAAACTGGTACCCAACGAATAATATGAATCCACAGCATTGTAACTTGACACAGAACATCAACCCTCACAGAATGTATTTATAACTGATTCATGCACTTCAACAAAGACCAATAACTGCAAGTTTTATCTATTACCTTCGTGTATACAAAACACATAGATACATAAAAATATATGGTCTTATATAATACCTTAATTCAAGACTATATATCAATTGTTTAAGATAGTTATCAGTATATTTGTGAATAACTCTATATAGATTTAAATTGGTGTAACATTACATTTAAGTAAAATAAAATCTGAAAACCAAAAAGGGAAGAAAAAGTGGAAAAACAATGCAAAAATTAAAAAAACAGTTTTCCAATGTCTCCCACCGTCTGGCGATGCACATATTTTGTGTCCAAGGGCAATAACTCAAATCTTTTTTTAACTTTTCCATAAATATTCTACATGAAATGCAGACAATTTCCAAGGGGCATAATTCCTGTAAAAATTGCTGCTGATTATTGAACTCTTCCAAGACCTTGCTGAAATAAACCATTGATGTAAATTTCAATTCAAGAGATGTAAGTGTGATAGTGCTTACAATACAATGTTTGATATAAATAACATTTCAATGGGACATAATTCCTGTAAAAAAACTTGATCTACACTGATTTTTGAAATCATCAAGATATTATTTAAATAAACCTTTGATATAAATTTTATGAAAATCTGACTAGAAATGTAGGCATGAGAGCTTACAATGTAATTTCCTATATAATGTCCTTTTCCAAGGAATATAACTCCACTAAAAATAACTGATACACGCTGATTTTTAACTTTGTTCAAGACATTTCTGATATAAGCCTTAAATATAACCTTCATAACAATCCTACAAGAAATGTGGTCTTGAGGGGCTTACAATCAATTTTTCATATAATCTATATTTCCAAGGGTCATAACTCCTTTAAAAATAGTTGATTGGCACTGATTTTTAAACTCATTCGAGACATTGAAGATATAAATCTTTGATAATGATTTCATAAAAATGTGGCAAGAATTTTTTGGTCGAATGGGCTTACAAGACTGGACGGAAAGACCGTTGCCGTCTGGTATTTTTATGTCCCCTGCACTGCATTGCACGGTGGACAATAAGGACAAAGTAACAAATTTTATCATTATGACAATCAATTTAACCTTACAAACATTATTTATGAAAGCCTGTCTAAGAGAGCTACTAAGAACATTTCAAGACCGTTTAAAAAAAAAAGTAGTAGATAAAGTAATAAAAAAAAATTGCATATCACTTACAATATGAATAATTTGTTTGACAACATAAAACTGGTAAGGTTAACAATAACCAATGTACATCATAAAATTATTTAAAAAAATTATTGTGAGTCCATCTTCATCCATTCAGGCAAAAAAAAAACGATAAAATTTTACATATTTTCCATTAAATCAATATTGTAATATTTGTATATGTATATATATAAATTAATGATTAATCATAAATAAACATGAAATTAACTGAACATTTTTCTTTTATAATACTGATTCTTAATCTTAAATTAATGAGAGTGTACATATATTAACATTATATAAATATAATACACATTTCACAAGTTTTTGTCAGGTTTAATCTGATGTTTATAGGTTATACTATAGAATACGGCGAGTAGCATGTTAGCATTCCAACTTATGCCAAAGGTAGCAAGTATTAAATATAAAGATTAAACAGGAAGTCTACTGGTTTGCAGTTTCCTTTTTACTGAAGAAAAGGTGAACAGTAAAACAAAGACAAAGAGTAGAGGTTACTCAAATGCTGCCCCCTAGTGATAGTTGGAAAGCCCATTTCAAAGCATAAGATAAATGCTAAATGAGATACTTGATCAAATAATATGCAATCCAAAACTTGACAAACAAATCAAGAAACTTCATTCCAAAGTTAGGAGCAATATTCTTACAATATATATTCTATACATAAAAGATATTAAATAGTTCCATTTATTGTAATAATTTCTGTATTGCTGTAAACAGACATTGCCACTTAAATAATTATATGAGGCAGGTATATGGGCAAATTTCATTGTAATCATTTTAACATTTTCTGACAATGATATTTTTGGTAATGAAACTAAAAGGGGGAGCTACGATGCCCCTTTAAGTATGATTTTGAGATCCTATAAAAATTATCTTAATTTGACTTTCAAATTAATATGATAAAATAGTCAGTTAAGAAAAGTACACTATGGTGTGACTTTGTCATTAAAAACATATTACCATTGGCATATTTTATAACTAACATAAGAGGTTGAAATGTGTTAATTTCTGGTTCTATATTTTTAAGAACAAATTAAACAGAGTCGGACATATTTTTCATACACATGCTTATTCTTTTTTTAAAGAATCAAGACAGAAGATGCAGGAATATACAAAGAAAAAAATGTGGCCTTTATTATAATACTTTTATGTGCTTGTATATCAAAATTAATAATAATCACATATATTCTTTATCTTCCATCTCGATAGCACTGTTTACCACTTAAGGGTTATTTCACCTAAATTCACTAACATTTTCTATTAAAAATAATGTGGTCAAGACATTTCTTGTTGTCAGCTTGATTAGATTGGATTTGACAAAGGTGAGCGTTCTTTCTTCAAATAAATTTAAACAAAACAACCCAAGCATAATTATACCAGCAGTTATTTCTGTCCTTATGTTAATGTTATTTGCTTGTAATAAAAACTGGTACTCAAGCATTCAGCTTTGCAGTACAATCACAGATATTCAGTCATGCATGACACAGTTGTCTTCCCATTTTATGGAGGAACAGCACTGTCTCTATGTCACACCTGATTGACTTTTTTGTTTGGAATGACCTTTTAGCACTTATTATTCTTCATCATCTTCCCTTACATATGCTAAGGGGAAGTAACCAACCTGTAAAATTAAAATATATTGAAGTTTTAATTAAATTAACGAAGAATTTTCTCTTAATGGTTAACCTTAGATATGCATGGTTTGTTGTTCTGCATTTCTAGTGTAAAAGCATGACAGAAAATTGATGGTAAAATCCATGTTTATCTCCACTAATTTACATCTTAATGAAATACATTTAAAAGCACAAAACTGCCAACACAGATTTATCAAATATTAAGTACTCGACAACAGTTAAGTCCACCTTCATACTGAGTTCACTTATAAGTATTTCAGAGTGAATCACCCACAATCACTGACATTCACAATGAAAAATCACTAAAAAATAACTTCCAATAGTGTTTATTAACCGTATTGATGTCATAGTTTATTTGATGTAAAGGCCAAGTATTAAGGTGATTATCCCTTTTTTTAATGTAAATTCCAATACAGCTTTGATTGCATTTCCATTAAGTAAACCGTTACAGTGTTTTTGATACATTGTGTATTGGTGAATTTAAACTTAAGCATATCTGCATTGCTTCTCTTCTCTCAATTTAAATTTGCTGCTTTACACATTATCCACTATAATTTTTGTGCTTTGGTGTGTTATGTACATGTTTTTGTATTATCTATACATTGTTTACATGTATGTGTGTCTGTTAAAGCTGTACACAGCCTAAGTTGCTGAGTTGTATGTGCTACCACTTAAATAAATCATTTATCTTTATGCTTTATGCTGATGCTTATTCAAATTTCATATTCTGAAATCTGACTGCACCTATAGTTTTACCTTGCCAGTAGTACAGTGCTCTCCCTTCCACCAGCCTTTATCACTTCCTGTTTTACTGAGTATTGCAACACGATCTCCTCGACATAAAGATAATTGTGATGTAGCATTTGCAGCATAATCATACACAGCAACTGCATAGCCAAGAATTCTGGATGCTATAATTGAGAATTATATTTGTATAGTCAACTATACTGTAGTTTCTTGTAAGCTAAATACACAAAATGAAAAATATGCTTGAGTGTAAATTAACTTTCATTCCATTATAACTTGATGATGATAGGCTGTCCAGCAGCAAATTAAATTTATATTCAGGAAAAAACATGTTAAAGCGAAATGAATATTAATAGAAATAAGAAGATGTGGTATGAGTGCCAATGAGACAACTCTCCATCCAAGTCACAATGTGTAAAAAGTAAACAATTATAGGTCAAAGTACGGTTTTCAACATGGAGCCTTGGCTCACACTGAACAGCAAGCTATAAAGGGCCCTAAACCCTGTTTTAACTAGACATGCTGAACTGGATTTTTAACGTACTAGTTCACAATGTAACAGTCCGCAGGAAGACAGGTCACCCCACTCTAACTTGCTTTGAGGGGAAGTAGCATATACATGTACCAATTTTTACATCTTTGGTTTGAATTAGCCAGGGATAGGACAGACAACCTACTGCACTTGAGGCAAGTGTTCTAACATGTACTATGGACCAATATGATTGAGGTTAATTGACTTAATTCCTCCTTGTCAACCAGGCATGCACACCTTACAAAAAAGATGCATAGCTGTTGTTAGACCTCTTTCTGAGGAGTGTCTGTTCATGCAAATGGTACTCAAATTTCTGTTTACAGACAACCATATTCTCAACTCTGATCAAAAGTTTTCTTTTGTCCAATAAATGTTTTACTGTACTTACTTGCACCAAACCCAGCCTGACTTTTGATAGGATACAATAATGTTGTTTTGACACCAGGGAAACATTCTTTTAAACTGTTCTGTTGATAAAATTCTACTAATTCCTATAAGTATAATATAGACTTGTTTATAGTATGGTAAATGCTTTTGACAATTTGACAATGTTAATTTTTGTGGTGGTGTTAGCAGTACATGTGTTAAATTTGACTCACCACGTCACCATAAACCTAAATATTTAACTTTAAAAAGAAATACATTAAAGCATGCATGCATAATTCAGTAAATATTAAATAGAATTAAAGTACATTTGTGAGCACGCTCACATACCCCACGCCCCACATTGTCACTGGGAAAACAAAATCTCATCAGATTTCTAAGTTCAAAGACTCATATCTCCTAAAAAAGTCAACTGATAAAATTTTCTTGTGGATATGCACTTCTACATATTATGTCCTCATTAACTACAAAGTTTCTTGAAATTCTGTTGTGTGGTTTCAGAGGAGTTGCAATGACAAAGTATTGCAGTAGTATATTTTGACAAAATTCTAAGTTCAAATGGCATAACTCATAGAAGAAAAATTGAATCATAACTTCCTGTCGATATGCACATCTACATAGAATGACCTTATTATCTACAAAGTTTCATGAAATTCTGTTGTGTGGTTTCAAAAGAGTTGTGATGACAAGAACAGGACTGACAGACTGACTGACAGACTGACAGACAGTCCGACGGGTCAAACACATTATACTATAAACAACTTCCTTGCATGGGGTATAATTATTGATCTAGCAGTCACATTTACTCCTGTCTGCAGCGTAAATACTGAATCATAAATGACCACTGTCATAGTACAACATGACCTGTATAGTATGGTCCATTACAGTGTGTTTCGATAAGATTCTGTCAAGTGGAACATTAACTATCGCCCATAAACCAAAATAAATTTAAGAAGCACCATGTGCACATTAGCAAAATTTGTGATTTTTATGGATTTGTAGTAGAAGAAACAATTGTAACTCTGCTAAAAAAAAAAAAGAAAGATATGCATCACTCTATAAATCCCTCACTGAGGCAGGGGTATAAAAACAGGTTTCCTGATTCATATGCATTGTTTACAATATAACATAGCTTTCCATTTTAAATCAATATGAATAATGTGAAAATTGAAAAAGAAATTGGATTGTTTTTTTGTATGTTTGGTTTTTGTTGAACTAAATTCCCATTTGGCCAATACAGATCCAAAACCTCCAAAGATTTACACATAACTGCAAACATGTACCTGATTAAAGATATTCTAGAATTTGGTAATTTGAAAATCTAAAACAAAATATCTGCCAAAAACCACTTATTAAATTCAAGAAAAAAATGCATTGACAAGACCTTTACCAATATCAAAGCTTTCGCTTTCTTCTCCAATGAAAAGTGGTTCCAAGAAGGGCATACAATTCATTTTCAACAACTGCAGAGATATTCACCCAAACAATCTTCTGTTTTATACTAATTTAAGCCCCCCCCCCCCAAAAAAAAAAAACAAAACAAAAAAACACAATCTTCATATCATATGAATGTGGCTGCTGTCCACCAATATTAACAACTACTTCTTAGTCTACTTAATTTAAAGGTTATCATAACTACTGTGTGGTTTAAACATTAGAGCATTTAAGAAAAACTTTCAAGAATGCCAGAACTGTTTTGTTTAAGACATTTAATTTAATAAACTGTTAACACATAGATATGTCTCGTTTTTTTGTTATTTTGATAGTAAAATGCAAATGTTGAAATTAAAATAGCAATAATTTAACAAGTAAGTTATGCAAAATATTCAAAGTCAATGGACCATGACTGAAGGTACAGGGCCAATTAATCTCCATGAAAATGAGATGTGCCAATGCTAATACAACTGCATACAAAAAATCATTGACCTTACACTAGTGATTCCCCATAAACTGACCTAATCAAAAACTTATACATGTAAACTAAGCAAAAATTTTCAAAGTCAACAGACCATGACTAAGGGGTCGAGGCAAAATAATCTCAATGGAAATGAGATGTGCCAATGCTAATACAACTGCATATCCAATATCATGGACCTACCAACAGTGGTTCCACATAAACTGACCTAATCACAAACTAATACATTGTTGACACTGCCACCGACGTCGGAAACAGCATACCTATTTCTCACTTCTTGACTCCGTCAGGGCAAGACAAAAACTGTCTATTTTCAAAAATATAACCTAATTCAGTACCAATTTTAATCTGCTACATTTTTGTCCATATTTTTGAATATAGCAAGTGCATTATGCAACATCACACAATAAGTACAATACTTTTAACAAGGTTTTTATTTTACATCATACTGACTTATCACCGATATAACCTTATTTAATTGAATCAAGTATCAAAATTTGGTTTAAATCCAAATTAAGGTTTTGAGTAATCGTCAAAAGAATCCTTTTTCTGCCCTAATTTTTGTCTTTTTTCAGTATCTGTGACCTTGACCCAAAATTATTTTGCTGGATTTGGTTCTTATCTTAAGGTTCCAGAGATACCATCTAGAAACCTTTACTCTTTACTGATTTGGGTCTGTGTCAAGTATCTGTGACCTTGACCTTCAACATATTGACTTACTGTGACCTTGACCTTAATCAATAGTGATCTTCCTTTCATATGTGACCATATATTCAAGTTTAGTAAACCATGAATTTAACCTCTCAAATTCTCATTTATTCAATCTCATGTGGATTTATTTTTCTTTCATATATCTATTTGCTTGTAATATTTCAGAATATTAACAGCTAAATTACAGTTGTATAAATTCTCAATATCAGACAGCAGAACTTCTGTAAGTTTACTTACAATGACTGAGGTAAATCTCTTTTCGCTAGACAGGAAGTAAAACCCTGGTTCTTGATGAACTTTCATGTGTTTAAAATTAAAATCCATTCTACAAGATATATACTCTCTAAACTCACAAATCATCATAATAATCTGTAATATTTTAATTGAAAATGAAAGCAACCTTCATTCTGGCTTCTAGTAATGAAAATTGCTTATGTAATGCATGGGGCCAACAAAATATAAATTCAGAAATTAATGTGTTATTTTCGGGAATGTGAAAAATGCAACTTATTGAGTATGGCATACATCAAAATTATTTTTTCTATTTCTAGTGATAATATTCAATTATAATATATAGGAATCACTTTTATCAATTTTATTTAAATTACTGTCAATTAATCAAGATTTGCAATAACAAATGCACACATTAATATCTGAATTTACAGTAATTGCTTATGACAGCTATATATGTGGCACCAAGGACAAAAATGCAAAGTACTAAAAACCCCAAACTGTACTTTAACAAAGAATGTTAAAATCATTCATAAGGCAAAAGGTTGGCAGTTAGAAGAAAGCTTTCAGAATAGTATTTCAGAGCAGAGTGACCATAAAAGTGTCAAAATATCATAGTAGCAGTTTATAGAGTTTTTGCAATTAATTTTGAAGGAGAAAACTTCAATAATTTTAGAATAAAAAAAAACCAAACATGCCTCATTTTATTAAGAAGCCAAACACAAAAGTTCAGATGCATCTTTTCGAAGTAAATGCCAACCTTTGACCTCAGGTGTGAAAGACCTTAGAACTGGTACTTACAGGAACTGTTTGGAAATATTTGGTATCACCTAAATAGTAATAGTTTTCAGCACTTTTTTCTACACGGATATGCCGCACCTGGTTTTCATATCTAGAAAGAAAAGTTAATAAGACTCCAGTTACAGATTATTCAGGTCATGCAATACAGAAGATAAACATTCAAAGGTTAAAAAGTAAGTCACAGTAAAAAGGTCAAAAAGTAATTGAAGAATTTACAAACAGAATGTAGAATAAAAAAAAAATTATTATTTAATCGAAGTTTTGTTTTACCGGTACATTGTCTCTCCAATCTATGAAATTCCACATTTTGAGAAAATAGTATGATGCCAATTTTCATGATTTAAGAAAAAATCTTCATTTCATTGTAAGTTATGATTCTAGGCTTTAAACTTGGCACTTAATTCACCAATGGATAAATTGTACCATGCTTAGTATAGATTTTTTGTAGATTTAATCAACCACGTAAAGCATGCCTTGACCATCCCTAATGGACGATAAATTGTTTTCAAAATTTTATTTTGACTGATAGGTCACCCCCTTTCTGAAAATCCTGGATACACCCCCCCCAGTAAATTCTTGAAAATTGTTACTCAATAAAATAAAATGCAGCACTCTTCGAAAAAATATTTGAAAGTTTATTTGATTACATTAATCACATTTACTTGCCCTTCTTTCGCAACTTGTTTCTAGAGTAAAATTGGACAGGATACTAATGTCCATAAATGACCTACAGCTATTCAATTAAACTTTACAACACTCAATAGAACATCTGTAAACTAATTACAGAGAATAGATATACATGTAGTCTAGTGAAATAAGAATTTAGCACAAAACTTGCAAATTCATAGATAAAATATGAAGTTGTACAATATGCTGTCAGTACATTACAGTGTTGTTAGCTATTTAGGTGAGAATAAGTAAAAACATGCACCTTTTTTATATATAGTTTGTTCCCCCAAAATTTGATTTAACATTTTAAGTATCACCTAATTCTTCAATTTAAAGATTGAATCTGTTTATAATTATGTTGCATTGCTGTGGTTTTCATAACATAGAGATTTTTTTTTCTACTTTCAGAAATATACGTGATTGTCAGTCTCATACCTCTCTCCACATTTCTACGAATAAAGTGTTGAATGATTTATCATCATAACTCTATATGAGGGTCTGGATGGGGGTCCTTCATTTCTCTATTCTTTATATTTTTGGCCATTATTCTCTATTCTTTGTAATTTACCACCCCCTTTTTCTCTATTCTTTATTTTTTGCCCTTTTTTTCTCTATTCTTTATTTTTTGCCCTATTTTTCTCTATTCTTTATTTTTTGCCCTATTTTTCTCTATTCTTTATTTTTTTGTCCATATTTCTCTAGATTTGGCCCATTATTCTCTATTTTGAAAACCCAAACCAGACCCTCCTGTATTTTTTTATTTTTCTAGAAAAAAATCCTACAATTATCTTCAATTCTTCAGTCTTGTAAATACCTAAAAGCAAGTGAAAACAAAGAAGTCTACTTACTTTAAACTAAGTGAGAGTTCTCCTCGCCGTCCTGGATTTTCACTAACACGAATTAAAAAGGTACCATTTGGCAAGGAAGTTAATCTTCTTACTGCTGTATCCCTGTCCATGGGACCAACAAACCTGATTTAAGAGAAAAGCATCTTTTTTTATTTGGTCCTCAATATTGCATCAATTATTTCAACATGACGAGTCTTTTAATGCATAAAGTAAAAGCACAATTTTTGTCAAGCTTTTCTAAAAGAGTGTTGACATTTACACTCAAATAGGCCAAAAATTGAAATTTTAGTGAAATTTGACAACATCTGATTTCAACAACATTTAGGTACAAGAGTGCAGTACTTGACAAACTAGATATGCAAATAAGACAGTTGATAAGTTATAACTATTATATTTAGTTTAAAGATAAATTTCAATGGAAACGCAACATTTTCAATGAATGTGGTGGTAAATTAAAATTTATGCTAATTTTGTTGTGTTTCTATTGGCATTCTATAAATATCAACCTGTAACAGCAATGAAATAAAATTGAGAATGGAAATGGGGAATGTGTCAAAGAGACAACAACCCGACCATAGAACAGACAACAGCAGAAGGTCACCAACAGGTCTTCAATGCAGTGAGAAATTCCCGCACCCGGAGGCGTCCTTCAGCTGGCCCCTAAACAAATATATATACTAGTTCAGTGATAATGAACGCCATACTAAACTCTTAATTGTACACAAGAAACTAAAATTAAAAATAATACAATATGTTTTTAGTCTTTATCAATATTAAAATAAAAATTCACCACAGCAACTTAAACATACATACCATTTATACACATTTAAATGACTGGACATTTCATTATCATTAGGGACATTCACATAACCAACAAGAGGCGAGTGTGGGCGAGGTGCAGGTGTCACACCATTCGGTGTTGATGGATACCGAATTTTCACATCGACATAGGATTCTTTGCGTATAATCTAGTCACAAAACAAAGAAAAGCAGCATTAGGTCATACACAAGTTGATTAATTCAAATTGAGGCTTATCAATGCTGAAATTCCAAGAGTCATACATATATAATAGCAATCAAGTTCAAAACTTCAAAACCTCATGCAGAAAAAATAAATAAAATCATATTAAAATTTCTTTTCAAAAATCATTTGCAAATCAATCCTGCACATTCTCACACACTATATCACATAAGTCACACAGAAATTAGATCATACAGTTTTAAACAGGGCTACCTTAGAACATAATACTTAAACATATATGTTTTTAACATATCTGTAATTAGGTAAATTTTTATTTTTATCCATGGGTAAATTTGAAATATTTTCTTTCTACAATTATCAGACCATTCATCAAAAATGCCATGACTAGCCTCTTCTTTGCAATGAGGCGGCATTCATCTGAGATATAGTCATGAGTGTTGATCTTTGATATTAATATAGATTTTTCAATCTTGATTCCTTTATTTAAACTTTTTGCTGACCAAAGACTTTTTTATTTTTATCCTGATGCAAATTTGAAATATTTTCTTTCTACAATTATCAGACCATTCACCAAACATGCCATAACTAGCCTCTTCTATGCAGTGAGGGCCAGTTGTCTGAAATATTGTCATGAGTGTTTATCTTTGATATTAATATAGATTTTTAAATCTTGATTCATTCATTTAAACTTTTTGCTGACCAAAGACTTTTTAATTTTTTAATTTCGACTGAATAAAGACCATTTTTTCAAATCAGATATATTTCAATTAACATTTTATCACTTTATAGTACAAGTAACGCTGTTCTCAGTAACATAGACCTTATTGCTATTAGGGAATCTGCAACATTTGAAGTATTGACATCATGCAACAATCACTTTTCTTTTGTGGCATCAAGGAAATTTTCTAGTGTGATGTCAAAATTTTACGAGAATGGCTGTGTTGTCCAGTAATGATTTACTATGAAGACCATATGATCTTTAGCTGCTGTGACTTTTGGGAAAACTATTGCATGCAGACATACCAAATGCATCTAAAGAGTTTCTGACATTTTTCTAAAGTTTTCAGTATCTCTCTTGGGATAATCCTTAATCTCAGCTGAAGAAAAATTTAATTGAAGAACTTTATCCATGTGATTACATCAAGACAAGGACTCTTGATCAACTTCATAAAGAATCTGTACTGCAGAAGTTCCTTGTTATGTAATCAAAGACTTTATCAATGTGATCACGTCAAATGTTTTTAATTCAGTCTACATAATTTCTATATTGATCTATACCAAGCATGGGTAGTGCTACTATCATTGATTGCATGTGTTCATATATAATTGATTGCTTTTATATTAATTGGTTACACACATTTTGTCTTTCTGAGGTTAGGTATAATTTCGTTAATCACTTCTTCTCCATATATCAAAATAAAAAAAGTTTTGATCCTTCATAAAAAATTCCTAGCTTTATACGTTTAAATTAGAGACTGTCTTCTTACCTTATGTTCTTCTTTGACTAAATGTTGAGGAAACCAACCATCATCACCACACATAGACCCCTGTAAAAAAGTATATAAAAAAACTCAAAATGCAAATATACTAATTAAGTCATGACAAGGAATGAGCTGTCAAATTGACAGCAAACAGTGTTTCTGTATTTTGAAGGGCACTTGACCTGCAACATACCATGACTATTTTCTAATCAATAAAGGGCAATAACTCCTGAACAGCAAAAATAAATAAATGGGGAATGTGTCCATGGGACACAGATATGGACACAGATGATGCCCCAGCTTGCATATAACTTTATAAAGGGACATAACTCCAGAACGGTAGAAGTGACGCAAAATTTGTAATTGATCTGAGTTTTGTGGTAATAAGCATTGTGTTTGAGTTTCAAAACATTTGGTTGAGGCAAACTTAAGCTAGAGAACGGAAACGAAAAATTCAGCAATTTTTCCATTTGAAAAGGGGCATAACTCTTGAACGGTAAAAGAGACACCAACAAAATTCATACTTGATCTGTGTTTTGTGGTAATTAAAGAACCTTTGTGAGCACGCTCACATATCCCACATTATCACTGGACAAACAAAATCTCACCAGATTCCTAAGTTCAAAGACTCATTACTCTACAAAAGTCAACTGATAAAAATTTTCTTGTGGATATGCACATTAACATTTTATGTCCTCATTAACTACAAAGTTTCATGAAATTCTGTTGTGTGGTTTCAGATGAGTTGCGATGAAAAACTGTTGCAGTAGTATATTTAGGTCAAAATTCTAAGTTTAAAGGGGCCGATCTCCTAGAAAAAAATTGAATCATAATTTCCTGTCGATATGCACATCTACATAGTATGTCCTATTATCTACAAAGTTTCATGAAATTCTGTTGTGTGGTTTCAGAGGAGTTGTGATGACAAACTGTGCAGTAGTATATTGAGGCCAATAAGTGCAAAGGGGCATAACTACTAGACAAACAAGAGTGCACACGCTGAAATGTCTCGCCTTCTTTACTAATCATTGACATTATGTTGATAGTCCTAAATATAAAGCTTTATTACAACTGTCACATAAACTTAACATTAACCAAGAAAACTAAACATTGACCAATGAACCATGAAAATGAGGTCAAGGTCAGATGAACCATGCCAGGCAGACATGTACAGTTTAACAATTCTTCCATATAACAGATATAGTTGACCTATTGCTTATAGTTTAAGAAAAACAGACCAAAACACAAAAACTTAACACTGAGCAATGAACCGTGAAAATGAGGTCAAGGTCATATAAAACCTGCGCGACTGACATATAGATCATAAAATATTTCCATACACCAAATATAGTTGACCTATTGCATATAGTATTAGAAAAAAAGGCCAAAACTCAAAAACTTAACTTTGACCACTGAACCATGAAAACGAGGTCAAGGTCAGATGACACCTGCCAGCTAGACATGTACACCTTACAATCATTCCATACACCAAATATAGTAGACCTATTGCATACAGTATAAGAAAAACAGACCAAAAAACAAAAACTTAACTATAACCACTGAACAATGAAAATGAGGTCAAGGTCAAATGACACCTGCCAGTTGCATGTACACCTTACAGTCCTTCCATACACCGAATATACTAGACCTATTGCTTATAGTATCTGAGATATGGACTTGACCACCAAAACTTAACCTTGTTCACTGATCCATGAAATGAGGTCGAAGTCAAGTGAAAACTGTCTGACGGGCATGAGAACCTTGCAAGGTACGCACATACCAAATATATTTATCCTACTACTTATAATAAGAGAGAATTTAACATTACAAAAAATGTTAACTTTTTTTTCAAGTAGTCACTGAACCATGAAAATGAGGTCAAGGACATTGGACATGTGACTGACGGAAACTTCGTAACATGAGGCATCCATATACAAAGTATGAAGCATCCAGGTCTTCCACCTTCTAAAATATAAAGCTTTTAAGAAGTTAGCTAACGCCGCCGCCGGATCACTATCCCTATTTCGAGCTTTCTGTGACAAAAGTCGCAGGCTCGACAAAAATTGAATCATAATTTCCTGTCGATTTGCACATCTACATAGTACGTCCTTATTATCTACAAAGTTTCATGAAATTTTGTTGTGTGGTTTCAGAGGAGTTGCGATGACAAACTGTGCAGTAGTATATTGAGGCCATTAAGTGCAAAGGGGCATAACTCCTAGAAAAAAAATTGAATCATTATTTCCTGTCGATATGCACATCTACATAGTATGTCCTTATTATCTACAAAGTTTCATGAAATTTTGTTGTATGGTTTCAGAGGAGTTGCGATGAAAAACTGTGCAGTAGTATATTGAGGCCAATAGGTGCAAAGGAGCACAACTTTTAGAAAAAAAATTGAATCATAATTTCCTGTCGATATGCACATCTACATAGTATGTCCTTATTATCTACAAAGTTTCATGAAATTCTGTTGTGTGGTTTCAGAGGAGTTGCGATGACAAGAATAGAACTGACAGACAGACAGATAGAGGGACGGATGGACAGACGGACGGGTCAAAAACATTATACCCAACGCAATAAATTGCATGGGGTATAATAAGCATTGTGTATAAGATGCATAACATTTGGTTGAGGCAAACTTCAGTTAGAGAACGGAAACGAAAAATTCAGCACTTTTTCCATTTGAAAAGGGGCATAACTCTAGAACGGTAAAAGTGACTCCACCAAAATTCAAACTTGATCTGTGTTTTGTGGTTATAAGCATTGTCATAAGTTTTATAACATTTGGTTGAGGCAAACAGTTAGACAGCGGAAACCAATTTTGGGACGTACAGAAGGACAAGGATAAAACTTAATGCCCCCTCCGCTATGGCGGGGGCATAAAAAATTGTCAATATTGAACTTGACCACTATTTTGTCATCAGTAACAGCATATTAAAATTTATGCATTAGTTGAACGGTTCATCAGTTATTCCAAGGAAATGACACAAAGTTTCATTTTCCAACCGATCAAGGACCATAATTCCTGAATGGTAAATGTGAAAATTAATAAACTTAACCTCCATTTTGTCATACATATTATAATTTGATACTCATTGGGGAAGGTTTGAATGCATGTAAAAACTTGTTGATCAGACCACTTTTGGTGCCTGTACAAGTGTTTCTTACCACTTTTTTTAAGGAGGAGTTGGTGTTGGTGGAGTCCCTTGTACTGTCCAATTTTTTTATAATTCCTATTATTCTTTTATGAACTATTTTATTCTAATAATTGAATCCTTTCTTCTGCTGGTATCTACAGATAAACTGACAATATTTTCAAACATAATTAATTCATATTTAAGGAAGTACATATTTGTCATCAAAATGATTTAACAGGAAACCAGTAAAAGAATTTGTAACTGGTACCTACCTTCCACCACTGAGGATCGGAATTATTTAAAATTTTGATTGTTTGATCTTTTTTGAAATGCAATGGTCTTTTGCCAGCTGGTGGCGCTGGACTCCCAACATAGTCTACTATTGCTTTCACATGACCTGTAAGAATAAAAAACATATAACATTTGTACATGATTGTCTTCAATATAAATACATATAAAGTTCTTTCTAAAATGGCTGAAATCCTTCATGAATTTTTTTTTTATCATAATTTAAATCACTTTTTCAAACACTTTTATCTGTATACAAAGTTAAGTTCATTTAAAATAATTATTTATTCTAAAAAAAAATAATGTTGAACTTGAATGACAACCTATATTGTAATTAAGATTTATTTCTATATTGTAATTAAGATTTATTTTAAAAAAATCTTTTGCTTGCAAATTTTTTTGAAGAAAGTTTAAGATGTTTTCAACAATGATTTATTTACAACAAGCCATTTGGATCTAAAGAATAGAAATGTTATGAACTGCCACAAGGTAGGACCACTAGCCACTAAACAAAGGGAAGTTATAACATCATTTGAATTTCAACAGGTTTGGGTTCTACTGTGCATTTAGGTTTTTGTGTTTGTTTGTAAATGCTGACGTACATAGGGAGTGGAAGCATAGGACCTCTTATAGAATACTTTGAAAATGGCCTTACATTTCCTGCCTCTTCTGGATGCTAACACAAAATAATAATTTGAAAAATGCTAAATAATAATAACTTTGAACTACTCTCTTATTTTAAAAAAAGAATAAGCTGTTTACAGCTAATATCTTTGAGTACTGTAAAATTTAGAAATTATTGCAAGTATTTATTGTTGCGATTTTGGAAGAATGGACAAAAATGCGAGATTAATTATTGCCATTGGAGGAAATCTGCTTACAGATGTTTGTATCAGATATCAGGATGCAAGTTCTAATTATTGCGATACACACCCAGTCACATTATTCCCATTAATAAAAACCTAGCAATAATTTCTGAATTTACAGTATGTCAAAATACAATAAAGTTAATTTTTCTTGTTTATTAGGTCAACCATGACATCAATACTGTAAACCAACTTATTTATAAGTTTACCCTTCATCACAAACTTTGCTACAATTTATTTTTGTGATTTTTCAACTTGATTGATATATTCATATAAGACAAAGATCCAGGTATGACTTATCACAACAATTTATATTCAAGTTATTTTTCTACTCACAAAAATAAATGGCTAGTAAAAATTAGTTGGTTTACAGTTTAACCTACAGAAAGAGTAATAAATGTTAAAAATAGTGAATTGAACCATGGAAAAGGTAAAAGAAGGGTTACTTTTACAACCAATCTGAACAGTTTGTCTCAATATTAACAAAAGCTAGTCATCGTTAGAAACATGAGAAAATATTTTGAAGGGCTGCTTTTATGTAAAGTTTTTTGGAATATAAGTTTTCAAGTGCTAGAAAAACCAATTCACAGATAATCTCATTACACATATTAAATAACAGGTAAAAGATATAAAACCAGCTGTATTCTCCTCTCAAACAGCTTTTGGATTTGATTTTCTTAAAATATTGTATTATAAATGTTAAACCAAAAACTCTATGAAATATAAATAAAAATATTTGGACCAACCAATGAACAAAACTTTGAAGGAATTATTTTCACAGCCTGTTTCATTTTTATGGAGCTGCTGGGCTTAGTCCAAGCCATTAATAACACTTTGAAAGGGACATTTTTATGATTACTGAATTTTACAAAACCTAAAATACCTAATAATGATCTTCAAAAAAGTATAAAAAGTGGTTGATAAAAATAGTTCCTAATTTGTAGATATAAAGTCAGTTGTTGAAAATGCAACAGAATGCTTCCACAACCTTGTGAATACTAGATATTTATCGTGATGTATAATTCAGTTGCTACCAATTTATAATTGAATTGTTTATCTGTGATTTATCAAATACATTTCATGGTTGATGAAAAAGCTGTGAAATATTATATTTATTTAGCCAAACAATTGTTACAAGGCAATATATATATATGTTATGTATGCATGATCAAACTTATAAAATCCAAAATGTAATCACAACTTTTGCCATTTTAATCACACATTGCTCCACACTTCCTGTTACTAGTTCTTGACCCTATTACTCTGAGCCTCCTACCTGCCCTGAAAACCACCTTATCATTCCTAGATGACATTATGGTTTTTCCTTGATCAGAAGATTTAAGAACGATAAGAATTTTTCCATTTTATAAAAATAAATACACACTAAAAACTTCACACCTAAAAAAGTGTTTGTAGGTACACACTAACAGGTACATGAATATGAAATATTTGCCAATAAACTTTAAGGAACGCACAATCAATCAATCATCAACTAACAGGTACAGATTTTTCTTACAGACATTAATAAATATATATAACAATAAATGTGGGATATACGTCATTGAGACATCAACCCAATGACAAAAAAATCCCAAGACAAAATGTTTCCAACAACAGATAGATACAGTGTCAAGTATACAGAAAAATATATAACATCTTTCAGTAATTGACAGGTTTAATGAGAATATCATGGCAGTCCTTTAAAAAAAAAAAAAGGTATCTACAAGTTTTAAACACCTTTAATGATTAACTAAAAACTAAAAAAATTCTAACATAAACTTGTAGACTGACTGAACATTGCCATTTTTGATTATAACGGGAACAAAACTAGAAGTTATTAGGGTTAGTAATAGTATAAACATAAAACGATCAGATAATCCAACTGAAATCTAAGACTAGTATGAAGTTACTTTAGAACAAAAACAGGAAATAAAATAATAAAGAACTAAACTAGTAAAAGATGATGAATTACACCACTAAACGTCTACTGGTAATTAGATTTGTTACTGACATTACTAACCTAGACTGAAGATCACATTTAGTAACTATAAAAACTGTGATAAAAAGTCTAAGAATGGACTCCTTCCATAATTCTAATCAGACTTATCTTATCATGCAAAAAACTGTTTCCAACAACTGTTTCCAACAAGAAACTTTATAGGTCAAACTGCTGGAAAAATTAGCTCAGTTATGGTAGTATGTTAAGCTTATGAAAGAAGCAGAAAACAAGCAGCAGCAGTCTTATTGAAAAAGTAGGTCACTGTGACAACTTACTGATTTTAGCAGATGCTTCTGACTTAGGTCCTAAAATTAATTAAATATCTTAAAAACTGCATATCTTGTTTGTTTTATTGATATATTAAGTGTTTGTAATCCCGCTCTATGTGATTTTCACAATCCTGAAGTTAATCCATGTCTTCTTAACAATCCTGAACTTTATATTTACGGTAAAGAAAATCTGAATGATTTGTCTAATCTTAAGTAAATTCCGAGCAATTTCAACTCTTACAAAGTTGAAACTGAACTTGAATCAAACAGTTGAAAGATTTTCAGAATCTAATATATTAACTTCAAAGATATCTTGATTGACATATAATGGGATTAGAAATTTCACTTTAAAAAAAGTTACTAAACAGAAAGAAATACATATTAAGATAATTACAATTTTCATATACAAATTAGAAGCTAATTTTAAATCTGTTTCTGTATATAAACTTACATATTATAGCAAGGTGTTATAACAACTTTTTATACATATTTCTAGAAATTTCTTTAATTGATTATAAAGTTAGTTTGAGATTTATAATTTAAAAGCCTTTTAAGTAAAACATTTCTTCTTCAGACTGACAGTCTGTACTTTTGGTCTATTGATTCAACAAAACACATAGAGCAAGTAAACTGGACTCAAGCTCATCAACAAATGCAACTCAACAATAATGTGAAGCAAAATTCTGCCAAAAGTTATCTCCCATACATGGTACCCAATAAGTGTCAAAAGAACTCACTCCAAAGAATATTTTAAAGAATACAACGGACTTACCAACTACTCTTGGCGGGACTGGCGGCACTGAAAAACAGAAAGATAAGACTTTAACATAACTTTATGAAAAACGATGAACAGTAATATAGATAATCAAAAAGATTTACCAAAAAGTCCTAAAAATTAGTATTTTATAACCCAGTCTCTGAAAGGAGATTTTTTTTTTTATCTAATGCAATGTATACATATACAAATGAAGATAAATGTCATAAAAATAGCTATTGAGTGAGAATGTTATTTTCTTTCTGTAGCCTATTTTATTTTTAACACTCATTCCAAGTAGTGCAAATATTCTTAACTCACTTAATATGTATTTGAAGAAAACGTAACTATTTTTTTTTTTTTACTTTCTGACATTTCAATGTACCTTCTGCTAATACAAAGAAATGCACTAACTTCTGATTCTACAGGAAGTACCAAGTATGTATCCAATGACATAAAATATAATTATTAAGTGCTATGTTACTGTAGTTAAATTAGCAAAAAGATGTCACTCTTTTATAAAGCAACATTTACTGGTAAACACAAAATAGAATCATGTGCATAATTCAATAAACATATAGCTTAATTAACTTTACCCCCTTTTGAAAAAAGTCTAACATTACTATCAGTAATTGCTGCTTACAATTATGATTCTGTTGTCAAAAGACCTTTCAACATTAATTCTAGAAAAACACAATTAAGTTATGCACTTTTCCATAATGACCCAAAGGTCACGAAAAAGAAATCTTGAATGAGCAATGCTAAATACAGTACAAAAGACACCAGATTATTTTTTAAACATTTGAATGTTGCTAATTCTATACAGCAAACCTTGACCCATAACTGATTTGAGTAAATGATATATTGGCTACAAGGAGGATTATGAGAAACAAGTGTTGCTATATATGGAATAATTTTTTGAGTAAAATACACATTTCAAATCTTACATACAATAGATGATACTGACATCTTATACACATTAACATTTATTCAATCAGGGATTTTCCAGGAAAAGTAATGGTTAAAAATAGAAGTTAAAAATAAACAGGGTATCTACATGATAAAATTTGTTGATATTTCAAATATTTTCAATATCAAAATACCATCCACATAGATTTCATAGGTTGAGACAGAGACTATAGGCACTGTGCCAATTCTAACTATCACTATGAGTAGAAAAGAAATTTGTCGTGAATGCCAATGAGACAGAAACTCAACCACACAAATTCATGAAAATAGACATCAAAGGGTCATAATACTACACAACGTACAAGAACCCACTCCATATACTGTGCTATAAATCTAGGAAAGTTGTGAATAAACTATTGAGACAATCAAATAACTGCAGCTAATATTATAATGAAAATGAAAACATGAAGAAATAGTGACTACTGAAGAGGGTCTTGACTCAAGAAATGCATATAAACAATTATTTTGCTTTAACTAGGTTTAGCAAGTACTCAAAATTACTGTTATTTTCTCCATCAGCGGTCAAACAAAATATATGGTTACAAATGTACAAAGATGAAACCAGGTACCATGAAGCAACGAAATATATGCAACACGCTGAAAGCAAGCTCAAAGTACTTAATCTATTGTTTATACAATCATGGTGGAAGGATTGCCAATGAGACAACACTCAACCAGAGACCAAATGATGTAGAAGTAAACAACTATAAGTCATCATACGGCCTTCAACAATGAGCAAAACCCATACTGCATAGTAAGCTATAAAAGGCCATGAAGTGACAAATGTTAAACAATTCAAAAGAGAAAAGTACATGATGGTCATTGAAACTAACAAAACTGTTTCATTCATATCAATATCAGTTAAATTTGGCATAAATGTTCGATCACTGGTATCCATTAAAGTTAACCTAAAATTTACAGTAAATATATTTTTTGTTAATATCATTATATATTTGTGTTAATATTTGTGAACATAAGCACTAAAAGTTTGGGATTTTTACTCACTATGATGCCCTGAAATTTTTGTTAACAAAGAAACATTATAATTCATATGTATATAAAAACAAGGAGACGTGGTATGATTGCTAATGAGACAACTATCCACCAGATTGTAAATGAATAAGATATAAGGAATTACCTTTATGCATGTAATAGAAATAATAAAATTTAACACCTTTTCATCAGAATCATCATTTTTTTTTATTACTACTGATGTTTGATATTAATGCTATCCTTTCAAATAAAATGCTCCGCTGGGGCGCAGCTTGATACGACTGCAGAGGTCGAACCCTGAACAGTTGGGGCAAGTATGGACACAACATTCAAGCTTGATACAGCACTGAATTTGGATTGTAATTAAATATTTGACACAGCATAGGTTTCTGACACAGAATGAATGTGGTCTAAGAACTTACCCCCCCCCCCCAAATTTTTTGAACCCCCTTATGATTCATCACCCCCAAATTCAATCCCAGTTTTCCCTTTGTGGTATGGTACCTTGCAGTACAATTTCAGAGAGATCCATACACTTGAACACAAGTTATTGTCTGGAAACTAGAAAAATGCTTGTTTTTTGGCCCCAAATTCCTAAACGTTTAGGGCAATTACCCCCAAACTCAAACCCAGCTTTCCCTTTGTGATATGGAACCTTGTAGTACAATTTCATAAAGATCCATACACTTACACACAAGTTATTGTCCTGAAACTAGAAAAATGCTTGTTTTTTGGCCCTTTTATGGCCCCTAATTACTAAAATTTTGAGGGAATTACCCCCAAAATCAATCCCGGCCTTCCCTTTGTGGTAAGGTACCTTGCAGTACAATTTCAGAGAGATCCATACATGTGAACACAAGTTATTGTCTGGAAACTAGAAAAATGCTTATTTTTGGCCCCTTTTTGGCCCCTTATTCCTAAACTTTTAGGGCAATTACCCCCAAACTCAATTATAGCTTTCCCTTTGTGATATTGTACCTTGTAGTACAATTTCATAAAGATCCATACACTTACACACAAGTTATTGTCATGAAACTAGAAAAATGCTTGTTTTTTGGCCCTTTTAGGCCCCTAATTCCTAAAATTTGGAGGCTATTACCCCCAAAATCAATCCCAGCATTCCCTTTGTGATATGGAACCTTGTGATACAATGTCAGAGAGATCCATACACTTACACACAAGTTATTGTCATGAAACTAGAAAAATGCTTGTTTTTTGCCCCTTTTTGGCCCCTAATTCCTAAAATTTAGAGGCAATTACCCCCAAAATCAATCCCAGCATTCCCTTTGTGATATGGAACCTTGTGGTACAATGTCAGAGAGATCCATACACTTACACACAAGTTATGTCTGGAAGTTACAAAAATGCTTATTTTAGGCCCCTAATTCCTTAACTGTGGGTACCATAACCCCCAAAATCAATCCCCACCTTCCTTTTGTGGTATTGAACCTTATGGAAAAATTTCATTGAGATCCATTCACTTAAACTAAAGTTAGAGTGCGAAAACTAATGTGTCTTCGGATGACGACGACGACGACACCAACGTCATACCAATATACGACCACAAAAATTTTTTTGCAGTCGTATAAAAACATATTCATAAAAAATTCTGTTGTGTTTTAATCAATATTTGTACCAAGAAAATTTTTGTAAAAAAATTATGTTTTTTTTAGTCACTAGTAAAAAATGGATTCTTAAACCAAATTACCACCAAATATTAACATTATCATGCTGATGCTTCAAACTTAATTATATATTAACCTGTTTATTAGTTTTTTTCCTTCCACGGTCATGCCTGCATTGCATTTTAAAGGAGAAAGAAACCCAAAATAAAATGTCTGCAAAAAATAGTGTAAGTGTTTCTTCTCTTAATATATATGGCATAGGGTAGTTGTACTTACAAAGAAAACTTATCAATTTTGAACTTACTGCCTTTTCATGGGTCTCAACATTTTCAAGAACTTTTGGATCTCAAAGAGCATAAAAAGAGTACTTTTCTTCATCAAGCTTATGTCGGATTTTCATGTTTCCATAACCTTGTAGTTTGACTAAAGATTTTCCTGACTTTAAATTTCTGTTATTATACATTAATGATTGTTTAAATTTGGTGGACAAAATTTTTGTCTGCAACTGAATCATTCTTTGGTTGTCAACATTTACTGACAATTTCTACAAATCATCATCTTCAAAAATTATGACACTATTAGACGATGACTGTTGTGCTGTCTCCGTTACAGAAGTGCCACATACTAATTTTATCTTCCTTATATTTTGGTTCGATGTTCTAAGTAAACCTTTATTTATCAGATTCTCTTGCTAAGAAAATTTGAATGTTTTCTTTGTTCGACATGTTGAAATGCGAGTTCTGTTTAATTTCAGGCTGAATAGAACTGGAATAGTAGTAGTGACGTGACTAGTATGAGAATTATATCAGCTGGCTTTGATGTGGGAAATTTAAAAGGATTTATTTAAGTATTCCAAATAAATACCCTTCTATCATTCCTTTCATCTGGAGATATTTGTTATTCCCTTTTTAGTGAGTAATAGATTCTGTAAATAATAACATGATGATTGGGTTTCCTTCTACTTTAAATTTCCCTAAAGTCTAACATCTACTTACCTCCCTTGTTCTGTGTTGGGGACTTCCCTATACATTCTTTATGTACACACTGCTTATTGTCTGAAAAATATGGTAAATTTGTTTTGTTCATGCAGAGTAAGTTGCAAATATAACCAGTCATCAGCCTCATTTGTCATAAGACTGGTATAAATATTATTGTGAAAATGAAAAAAAATCATGTAAAGTTGTTTTTTTATATTTCAAACTAAAAAAATATCTTCACTACATGAACATATTGAAATAAAAAGAGATGAAAACAAATAAACAAACACACCCACCCACCAATTATCAACTTTAAGCAAGAATGTATGTTGTCATGCTAAACATACCCCTACCCATAATTCAAAGTATAGAAAAACAGGAAGTAGGTATCCAACAAATCAAAAAGGCTTACACACCTTACAACTCATCAGTGAGCTCCTAACCAAATCCAAAGTCATTCTATTCGGTAGTACTTGAGAAAAGTTTGATGAAAAATTGCAAGATGATTCAACATATTAAACAAGAGGCTCTCAAGAGCCTGAATCGCTCACCTGTAATTTTTTGCTTAAATCTTTCATCAATGATCATTTTTGCTTTTTAATATATATTAATGAGTGGCTTAAAAATTCCATTGAGATGTTCTTTGTATCTGTCATATTTTCTTCAAAAGCAAAGAAAAACATTTTACCCCTATGTTCCATTTTAGCCATAGTGGCTATGTTTCTTGACGTACAAGAAAATAAAATACAAAATTTACACTAGATACTCTGAAACTCATTCAGCCCAAGTTTGGCTGAAATTGATTCATCAGTTTCAAAGGAGAAGATTTTTTAAAGTAAGCAAACTAGATGAACAAATTGAGAAAAATTGTCTTTAAAGGGCAATAACTCCTTAAGCACACATTTGACAATTTTGGTCATACAAATGTATTAACTAATTTGTAGATCTTACTTTGCTGAAAATTTTTGCTGTTCACAGTTTATCTTTATCATTAATAATATTCAAGATAATAACCAAATACTGCAAAATTCCTTAAAATTACCAATTTAGTGGCAGCAACCCAACAATGGACAGTTAGATTTGTCTGAAAATTTCATGGCTGAATGAACATTTCAACCTCTCATCAGATTTGCTCTAATTGCTCAAAAATTTGAGATATATTAGCCAAAAACTGCATTTTACCCCTATGTTCTAATTTTAGCCATGGCGGCCATGTTTTTTGACGAAACAGAAAATAAAACACAAACTTTATTCCAGATACCCTAAGGATCATTCAGCTTAAGTTTGGTTGGAATTGGTTCAGTTGTTTCAGAGAAGAAGATTTTTTAAAGTTAGAAAACATGATAGAAAAATTGTGTAAAATTGTCCTCAAAGGGCAATACTCCTTAAGGGGTCAATTGACAATTTTGGTCATATAAACTTATTTATAGATCTTACTTTGCTGAACGTATTTGCTGTTTATAGTTTATCTTTATCATTAACACTATTCAAGATAATAACCAAAAACTGCAAAATTTCCTTAAAATTACCAATTTAGTGGCAGCAACCCAACAATGGGTTATTAGATTCATCTGAAAATTTCAGGGCTGATAGAACTTCACCTAATGAACACTTTTACCCCTGTCAGATTTGTTCTAACTCCTTTGGTTTTTTAGATATAAGCCAAAAACTGCATTTTACCCCTATGTTATATTTTAAGCCATGGTGGCCATGTTTTTTGACGAAATAGAAAATAAAACACAAACTTTATTTTAGATACCCTAAGGACCATTCAGCTTAAGTTTAGTTGGAATTGGTTCAATGGTTTCAGAGGAGATTTTTTAAAGTTGGAAAACATGATAAACAAATTGTGTAAAATTGTCCTTAAAGGGCAATCACTCTTTAAGGGGTCAATTGACAATTTTGGTCATATAAACTTATTTGTAGATCATACTTTGCTGAACATATTTGCTGTTTACAGTTTATCTTTATCATTATTACTATTCAAGATAATAATCAAAAACTGCAAAATTTCCTTAAAATTACCAATTTAATAGCAGCAACCCAACAATGGGTTATTAAATTCATCTGAAAATTTGAAAGCTGATAGTACTTTACCTTATGAATACTTAAACCCCGTGTCAGATTTGCTCTAACTGCTTTGGTTTTTGAGATATAAGCCAAAAACTGCATTTTACCCCTATGTTTCTATTTTTAGCCATGGTGGCCATGTTTTTTGACGAAACAGAAAATAAAACACAAACTTTATTCTAGATACCCTAAGAATCATTCAGCTTAAGTTTGGTTGGAATTGGTTCAGTAGTTTCAGAGGAGAAGATGTTTGAAATAGTTTACACCAGACAGACGAAGACAACGGACGCCAAGTGATGGCTCAAGCTCACAGTTCCTTTGGAACGGTGAGCTAAAAATTCAAAGTATCGGCAAAACGGAAGTTGATGTCTGACAGATCTGAAAAGTGCTCACTTGTTAAAATTACTCATCATTGTCAAGTATAAAGTCTAAAAAATATTCCCTTATTCTATATTGTTCAAAAAATATGTGGCTTCGCTCATAATATATATCAAAACCTCCCTATATATTTTTTAGTTTATGCTCATTCTTGAAGACCATATATATTAACCTACAGTTTTTTATCCTTACTCTATAAGTTGAACTTTCACATATGTGAATGGGTATTTGTCGCAATATGGCCTTTTTTGCACAGATATTAATTAATCAATCAATCAATCATATTTATCCTATTACCCTAGATATTCGTAGATATAAGCAGTAATCGATCAAATCAGTCACTCTAGTTTTATAGCTTTATTATTGATCATCATTTCCACTGCTAGTTATATTACCTACTTACCTTCACACAAATACCCTTGGAAGAATACACCTCTGAAATATACAAGAAGAAAAGGCAAAGTTCCATTAAAGAAATGAACAAAACATATACAGCAGAAATATAGACTTCTATAAATCTTCAAAAAATAATTCTTAAAAAATTCATTTTTACAAATAAACATTTTTTTTCTTCATGTATGTTAATGTATGATATATACGAACTCTGACTATGAATATCATAATTTTGGGCCAAAAATCAAAAAAGTTACCCATTAGGTCTCTATGTTACTTCTAATTTTTTTTATATAAAATACTTGATGGAGTAAGTATGAATAGTGTAACAGCCTTCCATTCAAAACAAAAACATTAGACATGTGCTTTAAACCTGTTTTATTGTACCATGTGACTTTACTCATTTAAATATCAAAGGACACTATACATGTCATTGTTATAGAAGTCAAACAGACTATACCACTGCATCAAATGTGATACAATATTCTCTAGTCATGACAGTTAAAAAAGTGAGGCATATTACACATGATTCAGTGGTGCAATCTGTTTCCCTGATGATTTTTTAGGTGATATGTATGCAAACTTTATCTTTCTTTTTCTATGATCTGCAAAAAGATGTGTCCTTAATGTGAAGTCATTGGGCATTGTCACATTTTTTGGTGACATCACAATAGCAAATTCAGAGGAAAACAAAAGAAATTTGAGGTCATCATTGAATTTTGCCAATGAAGAACTGAGATCAATAAATAATTAACTGTTTATAGAAAGTATAAATCTGCTCAGATTTAGAGAAATTCTAATACTTTTTCATATTCTATATTATAGGGTTTCTGCACCATTATTGATCAATAAACTGCAACACTTTTTGATTCTTATACCTGTCAACAAGCTGCTTGAGTTTGCAGAGTGAAATAGTATTCTAAGAGGAATAATTTTAACTTTTGTGTGTGTACCCTTGAATTGTATGGCAAATTTTTTCTAATTTCATCATGACAACAATCATACAGCATCATCATTTTTTTCTAGCATTATAACACTGTATGTGGGATTATTGCACACTATGTGGTTTGAATATAAGACTATAGATACAAACTGTTCTGTTTGACCAATGCCTTAGTAATGTTTTCTGGTAAAATATCATAACCTTGCAAAATATAATAAAATGCTTCGCTGGGGCGCAGCTTGATACGACCGCAGAGGTCGAACCCTGAACAGTTGGGGCAAGTATGGACACAACATTCAAGCTTGATACAGCTCTGAATTTGGATTGTTATTAAATATTTGACACAGCATAGGTTTCTGACACAGAAAGAATGTGGTCTAAGAACTTGAATTTTTTTAATTTACCTATTATGGTCCAATGTCCAAAATCAAAATACATGGTTAGATTCAGCATATCAAAGAACCCCATATATTCAATTTTTGTTAAAATCAAACAAAGTTTAATTTTGGACCCCAACTTGGACAAACTTGAAAACTGGGCCCATAATCAAAAATCTAAACACATGTTTAGATTCAGCATATCAAAAAACCCCAAGAATTCAATTTTTGTTAAAATCAAACTAAGTTTAATTTTGGACCCTTTGGACCTTAATGTAGACCAATTTAAAAAACGGGACCCAAAATTAAAAATCTAAAAACACGGTTACATTTGGCATATCAAAGAACCCCAATAATTCAATTTTTGATGAAATCAAACAAAGTTTAATTTTGGACCCTTTTGACCACAATATGAACCAATTTGATAGCGGGCCTACAAAATAAAAAATCTAAATAAATGGTAAGATTCAGCATATCAAAGAACCCCATATATTCAATTTTTGTTGAAATCAAACAAAGTTTAATTTTGGACCCCAATTTGGACCAACTTGAAAACTGGGCCAAAAATCTAAAATCTAAATACATGCTTAGATTCAGCATATCAATGAACCCCATATATTCAATTTTTGTAAAAATCAAACAAAGTTTAATTTTGGACCCCAACTTGGACCAACTTGAAAACTGGGCCCATAATCAAAATTCTAAACACATGTTTAGATTCAGCATATCAAAGAACCCCAAGAATTCAATTTTTGTTAAAATCAAACTAAGTTTAATTTTGGACCCTTTGGACCTTAATGTAGACCAATTTAAAAACGGGACCCAAAATTAAAAATCTAAATACACGGTTAGATTTGGCATATCAAAGAACCCCAATAATTCAATTTTTGATGAAATCAAACAAAGTTTAATTTTGGACCCTTTTGACCTCAATATGAACCAATTTGATAGCGGGTCCACAAATAAAAAATCTAATTACATGGTTAGATTCAGCATATCAAAGAACCCCAAGAATTCAATTTTTGATGAAATCAAACAAAGTTTAATTTTGGACCCTTTTGACCTCAATGTGGACAAAGTTGATAACGGGGCCTAAAAATCAAAAATCTAAATACATGGTTAGATTCAGCATATCAAAGAACCCCATATATTCAATTTTTGTTGAAATGAAACAAAGTTTAATTTTGGACCCTGATTTGGACCAACTTGAAAACTGGGCCCATAATCAAAAATCTAAATACATGTTTAGATTCAGCATATCAAAGAACCCTATAAATTCAATTTTTGTTAAAATCAAACTAAGTTTAATTTTGGACCCTTTTGACCTTAATGTAGACCAATTTGAAAACGGAACCAAAAATTAAGAATCTAAATACACGGTTAGATTCGGCATATCAAAGAACCCCAATAATTCAATTTTTGATGAAATCAAACAAAGTTTAATTTTGGACCCTTTGGACCTCAATGTGGACCAATTTAAAAACGGGGCCCAAAATCCAAAAACTTAATACACGGTTAGATTCAGCATATTAAAGAACCCCAAGAATTCAAGAATAAAACCCCATTGAAATTGATCAAGAAATAAGCAATTTATACGAAGTATCTTCTTTTGCACAATACTGTGCAATTGAATATTTCTTGCTATTGTGCAATACTGTACAATTGACAATTTCTTGCTATTGCGCAATATTGTGCTATTGGATATTTCTTGCTATTGCGCAATACTGTGCAATTGAAGATTTCTTGCTATTGCGCAATACTGTGCAATTGAAGATTTCTTGCAATTGTGCAATACTGTGCAATTGAAAATTTCTTGCTATTGCACAATACTTATTATATAATAATTTACACATCCTGTTTGGTGTGTATCTCCTACCATATCATTTTTATTTGCTTTTAAATATTAATCAGAAATAACCAACTTAAAATGGAAAATTTTAAAAGAAAAAAAAAAAGGAAAAAAAGAAAAAAAAAGAAAAAAAAAAAATCCCCCCCCCCCCCCCAAATTTTTTGAACCCCCTTATGATTCATCACCCCCAAACTCAATCCCAGCCTTCCCTTTGTGGTATGGTACCTTGCAGTACAATTTCAGAGAGATCCATACACTTGAACACAAGTTATTGTCTGGAAACTAGAAAAATGCTTATTTTTGGCCCCTTTTTGGCCCCCAATTCCTAAACGTTTCAGGCAATTACCCCCAAACTCAATTCCAGCTTTCCCTTTGTGATATGGAACCTTGTAGTACAATTTCAGAAATATCCAAACACTTACACACAAGTTATTGTCATGAAACTAGAAAAATGCTTGTTTTTTGCCCCTTTTTTGGCCCCTAATTCCTAAAATTTTGAGGCAATTACCCCCAAAATCAATTACAGCCTTCCCTTTGTGATATGGAACCTTGTGGTACAATGTCAGAGAGATCCATACACTTACACACAAGTTATTGTCTGGAAGTTACAAAAATGCTTATTTTTGGCCCCTTTTTGGCCCCTAATTCCTTAACTGTTGGTACCATAACCCCCAAAATCAATCCCAACCTTCCTTTCGTGGTATTGAACCTTATGGTAAAATTTCATGGAGATCCATTCACTTAAACTAAAGTTAGAGTGCGAAAACCAATGTGTCTTCGGACGACGCCGGACGACGACAACGACGACGACGACGACGACGCCAACGTCATACCAATATACGACCAAAAAATTTTCAATTTTTGCGGTCGTATAAAAACTATTGAATATATTATTCAAATGTCTTGTACACAGCTTAATCTTTACATTTAAAAATTAGCCTAAACTGTGCAATGGACGGAAGACACCATCATAAAAATAAGATTATCAAATTATGAAATTTTTATCTGATTATTTAATTTTCACTTTGAAATAAAGATAACAATGTATTGCTAACAACCAATAACTTACCTCAATAATTTACCACAGGCATAACATTCTGTTGGAGTATCAAATGTATTCATTTTATAATTAGCACCAGCAGGGGCAGGAGGCTGGGTATTATCTCTGAAATAAACAGAAACGTCAAATGAAACGCTCATTCCTTGATCACTTACAAAAATATTCACACACTGTGCTTACTGTATCTATTTTGAAGAAGAAACTATGGAGCACAAACTTTTGTTGGAATGGAATTTTCATAAACCTTTATTGGAATGAATTCTAAAAGTACCTGTAGAATATGAGTTGGATGCTATAAATTATTCCAACAATCAATTTTTCTGAAATGGTTGATATGTTCACACAACCCTACATAAATCAATAGGCTACATTTTGTTTGTTTTATTTTGTCTAAAACTATGTTGGGTGGACTTTTACACCATATTCTCTAAAAGAAAAGAGAAAACCGAAAAATACCTATCAAAATTCCAATTTCTCAACTTTTCACAAATTAAAGTATATATCAAGATTGTAGGACGAAAACAATGTTTGTACAATGACTTTGACATTAATAAGATTTTATGTTTGGTATGAAAATGAGAAAGGTAAAAAAAAATTCAAGCCAAATTTTTGTCTTGTAGAGCTTTACAATTATATTCATATCAAATATGATATCATATTCCTTACACTGTATTGTATATGTACATTGGATGCACAAATTCATATCAGTTTTCATACTGTTAACGTATATTTTTTCCGCCTTACAGAAGTTCCACTGGAAACTTTGTTATAAACAATGTCATAATACATATTCCTGTTGGAACAAATATTCTATACCATTTATTCCGTTAGGAACATATACTGTAATATTTATTCCTGTGGAAATAATATTCCAGAATATTTCTTCCTTTTGGAACTTATATTATGAAGGAACTTCTATTGCGTGACAATACCACCCAAAGGGATCATATTTTTTTTCATTTCAATAGCAAGACAAACTGAAGGGAAAGAAAAACTTACAAAGATAATTTTATTGCCTCTATCCACTTTATTCTCATATCATCTGTTTTGGCATAAAAAGTATAAGCTATCATTTCATCTTTCTTTGCAAGGATAAAGCCACTGTTCCACTGAAAGTAAAAGACAAAGATAAAATTCCATTTAAAGTATCATTACTTTGTCTTATCACCATGGTATATCATTTGACAAAAGAAATCTAATATCCAGCATCTGGAAGCTTCTTATGGAGTAGGAACTGCATTCTCTTTTGGAGCACATGATTTTCTTTCAGAACAATGAAATTTCCTAGATCTGAGAACATAGACATTTTTACTTAGGAATGTATAATATGTTTGGATTTTTTTATATCTGACATCTGCTTAACAATATAAGTAAACTATGTAACCATAGACTTTTATACTAGTAATTTGTGTCCACTCAGACACATTTTTTACCAGGACTAATTTATCGCTTACCCTTTGGAACTCATGCATAGTTTTCATGAAGACCATTAACCAACAACCATCTTGAATTGTAAGTAGCATTAAAAGGTCTACTTTTATTTCTATTTTTACCTGCTTTTCTACACTATTTAAATATCATGTGAAACGACAGGACTTACATTTCCTTTTTTCTGTCCTTCTTTAAGAGATGGCAAATCTTCTACTCTAAATGCTGCTAATATAATGGCTTCTTTAAAATTATATGTTTCACCCTATTACAAAAAAAAAAAAAACTATGTCAATAAACAATGTAAAACGTAAAGTGATCATCAAAAAAATATGTCATTAGAATACAGAAAAATGTAAAATATTGTAATCCTTGAATTAAAACTTCAATTTCTTAAAAATCAATTCCTTATTTACCAAATAGGAAAAAGGGATTTGAATAGCTATCATTAAAATGTTATTTCACTGGTGAACTTTTTAAAGAAGTGTATGCCAACTTAATTAAAACTTATTATACAGTTAAATAATCATACAAGTGATTTTTTGTGTGCCTAATCAAGAGTGTTGGCTACATAATTGCAAAACTCTTGGTCCAAACAATAAAATTTCATGATTATCACACTGTGACACTGAATTACCCTTCATACTGATTTTCTTTAGAACTAATATTTGTTTGGCTTATTATATAAAATGAATCAAAGTTCTAAATATAGGGACAAGGAGGTAATTTAAATTTTGCATGAAAACTTATTTCACACAAGTATAAAGTGCTGTAGATATCTCCTTGACTATTTATAGGTTTTTGTCGAGCCTTTGACTTTTGTTGAAAAAGTGAGACATAGCGATCCTACATTCTGTCAGCGTCGTCGTTGTTGGTGTCGTCAACAAATATTCACTCTGTGGTTAAAGTTTTTGAAATTTTAATAACTTTCTTAAACTATCCTGGATTTCTACCAAACTTGGAAAGAAGCTTGTTTATGATCATAAGATAGTATCCAGAAGTAAATTTTGTAAAAAAAAATTCCTGTTTTCTGTATTTTACTTATAAATGGACTTAGCTTTTCTGCCAGGAAACATTACATTCACTCTGTGGTTAAAGTTTTTAAAATTTTAATAACTTTCTCAAACTATCCTGGATTTCTACCAAACTTGGACAGAAGCTTGTTTATGATCATAAGATAGTATCCAGAAGTAAATATAAAAAAAAAAAAAAAAATCCTGTTTTTCTGTATTTTACTTATAATTGGACTTAGTTTTTCTTCGAGTTAACATTACATACACTCTGCAGTTAAATTTTTTAAAACATTTACTGTAAATTCAGAAATTATTGCGTGCATTTATTATTGCGATTTTAATTTTTGCGATATTGAGAAAAATCCTGTTTAATTCATATAAAATATTTCAAAATGCGAGTTTAAATTATTGCGATTATAACCCTGTCGCATTTTTCGCAATAATAAAAACATAGCAATAATTTCTGAATTTACAGTTTTAGATTCATAAACTATCCTGGATTTTTACCAAACTTGGACAGAAGGTTCTTACAATAAAAAAATTTATCGAGAGGAATATTTTTATTAAATTTTTTCCTCATCTCATTTTTGTTGTACCTGCGATTAACAGCAAAAGTAGGCGAGACACTGGGTTGCGGAACCCTTACAAATTTTTATTGTAATGATAAGTTATATTATCTTGTAAATTTGATTCTTTGTTATCAAAACTGTAAAAAGGGTACATTTAAAAAAAAAATTAAGTTGGTACTATGAAAATAACAAAATAAGTACACTGCAAATGAATACCTTTAATTTAGTGAACATTATACACAGCTGATATACATAGAATTTCACAAATTTCTATTTTTTCCTGAAATCAAAAATAGCTGTCATAGCAGAAAAAAATGCATAGTTCTATGTTGTCTTATTTTAGTAATGTGCCAGTAAACAGGTGTCTGTTTAAAACATACCACTGCATGAACTGAAATGAAGCAACCTAAGAGTGTGAAGGGGGAAATTAAATTGTGTAGACACATAAAGCAAACATTGAGCCTCTATGCAAACAACGAAGAGAAAAGTGGGTCATCTGTTTAAGAAAATATGGTACTGTGGATTCATTTATTTTGTGGATACCAATTTTCGTGGATTGAGGAAAACTCGTGGATATTTGAATTGAAAGTCTCCATTACAAGTCTAAATATTTTTTCTTCGTAGAACATTTAAATTTGTGGTTAACCTATACCCACGAAATCCACGAATAATAATGAATCCACAGTATTATCCTGTAAAACATGGTAAGAAATATTCTAAGTTAATCTTTACCTCATTACTTATTTTAATTCTGATGTTTTCCAACTGCTTAAAATTGAGTTTCAAAGTAGTTTACTTAACTGATATGACTTCATTGCAAAGCTTTAATTTTCCTTATGAAAAATATTATATCTAAGCTTTCATTTAACATCTTGCTATAAAATAGTGGTTTTGTACTTGTAAAACGTGCATATCTTCTGCAAATCTATAAACCTAAAAGTAATCTAGCTAAAGATGCATCAATTTCTAAATAATTTATACTAAATAAAAATAAAAAAATGTTGAACACAAACTCTAGACTTTGTTTTTGTATTTCCTATTTAAAAAAAAAAATTACAATAAGGTTCTTAAAAAAGTTACCACAGAGAAATAACTTATTGCATAAATGTATAGTGTAATGACAATAAAGATTTGAATTGAATTGATATAAAAACAAATTTGCTCAAAATTTTTGAAAAGATTTCCACAGATAATAAAATTGGCATAAACAAAGAATTAGGGAGGATGATAGTATATAACCCAAAGCCCTGAAGGAGAAAGCTACATATATGACATTCAGTACATCTAACACCTCATAAATATATGTCCCTAACAACTGTATCTATTATCATCCTTTGTCAAGCAAGTACGGCCGACCAATGTATTAGAAGTCAGAGCATACTGTAAGATTACAAGCTTTTAGAGAAGCATTAGACTTGCTACAAGAATCTTTCAAAGTGTCATTATCTTTATTTCAATTGAACTGCTATAAGAGATATAAAAATATTGTACCAATACTTTTTTTTTGATAATTTAGAAGGGGGACGTGTCATACGGTACCTATTTCAGCATTGAACAGTAAAATTTAACTTATACCTGTTGTCAAATCTTACATCAGAGATCATTTTCATCTTACAAAAATAATATGTTGTCACTCTTATAGCAATTGCATTGGCAAATGAACATGTAGAACATGTAGATAGGCATGTGTACCAAGTCTAAGAGCAGTAATGAATGATAATTTCTGGTACACATGTTGGACTTAAAAGTTAAGTAAATTTGTCCTTATATATAATCTTATTTTTGCTCTTTTGCAATTCTCTCCTCATGTAAATATTGGTAGCATAGGCAACATAATATAATTTACCCATTTGGACTTGGTAAAGTTTGTGACATGTGTTTTTTTCCTCGTCACACTGTAAGTAATTTGTAATTTCACAATATGCTCTCGTCCATGTTTTAGTCAACACACAGAAACAAAAATACATAAATGTAAAGTATGAGATAAACAAGTATTCACTAGTGTGCTTGCAATGAATGATTTGTGTAACTTTAAAAACTGGCAATATTTCTGATGTGATGGATTTTTCTGACCAAAGTGATCATCTCATAAATATTCATTAATCAAAACTCAATTAAATAGATAAGTTTTTATTGACACTTTATAAGGAAAAGTTTCATCCCTTCTGTCTAAGCGCCCAAATTACTTCATAAATCAGCCAAATTCAACTTGTTATACTGAGCCCTGGACTTTTTTTGGTCTTTCTGTACCATTTTTATTTCTTTTAGCGTGGCTTAATTGTTTCAATTTGGTTAGTCAAATAAGAAAATCAACTGTTCATCCCTTCACAATGGCGGCCAAGGGAAATAACTCAAACTCAAATTACGTCATTTGAAACCTATCCATATTTTCTTTGTTTTAGTGACAATGAGATAATAATAGAAAGAGAAAACTTAATGATAAAATATATGATCAGTAAAGAAAACTCAACTTTTTCTTAGGCATAATATTCATAAATATTACATTCCTATGATAAGAAAATAGAAAAGTTGAAGTTGGATTTGGGTAAACAAACAATATTTTATTTCAGGCCTGAAGTTTTTTTAACGAATATAACAATATATGTATTATGCTTGTTTGAATTATCAATGTTCTAGTCACTGCTATGAATGCAGAGACCAGTGTAACCAAATCAAATGCAAGAATGAAGTAACATAAAATGAAAGGCACAAAATGGAAGATATGAGGAATACAAATAAGCTTGTACAACGCAGTGTCCAACATTCCTTTGTTTATGTGTCTTACCGAGAAAAACTTATCCACTGTCTATGATGCAAAAAAGAAACATGAATTAATGATATGATTGGTGATAAATATGATCACATGATGAAATGCTGCATTCTGAGTGGTCAATAAAATGAATACATGAATATCTTTCTATAAACCAACTGATTTTTTTTAAACAATTTTCCTTTTATTTCTTATGGTTCCACATAGTATTAATTCATTTACTGGTCAAAGAAAGGAAATAAATTTAAAAATCCAGATTTTCATGAAAAAGCTGTCCCATTAAATAATTAGTAAAAACCACCTCCACTTAATTTCATGTCCAGGGATTCAATTCAGTCTTATGCATAGTGCATATTATTCCATTTAAATGAAGGAACTTACTTAACAAATATTGGTAGTAAATCAATTGTTCATTCCTCATTTAATTAGCCATAAAGCCACATCTAATCAGGCAAAATCGATGAAACAAAAAACTGCCTACCATATACCGGTAGATAGAGAATGGAGGAATGTCCCTGATGGAAGATCAATAGCCAAAATATCTTGTTAACTGGTTTAAAACCTAAATTTATGAAACTATATATTCCAACCAAAACATTTTATCAAGCAATTTCTAAAATAAATATTCTTTTGAAATCAGTTAGTTTACAGAACACATTCAGATTCTTCAACACTACTGAAACACTTCTAAAAGACATGTCAAAATTAATAATGAGTTGTGTGATGAAACTGGTATAAAGAAAATATATTATAATAGTAAATAGTGCTATAAGACTATACCAAGGAATACACTCGAATAAACTACTCTTAAGATATATCTGAATAAACTACTCTCAAGAAACACTCGAATAAACTACTCTTAAGATATAGACTTTCTATCAATAGAATAGGGTAAGATCCTCCTATTGATGACAGGGAAAGTGGAATGTGATATCACAGCAAATTTTCAAAGTGAAACTAACAGTGGAAGTGTTCTTATGTTAAAGATATACAAATCTTAACCAATCTATTTTAAACATCCAATGGAAATGTAATGACTTCAAATTTATTTAGATTTTACACCAATCAAAATTAAACATGTTAAATGCATCCCTCTCTCCCAGAAAAAAATAAAAATAAGATGATAAAAGTGTAATCAACTTTATATACTTAAATGACATCTTTTTCATAGAAGAAAAATAGCTGCTTGTAAAATAATACAAAAAAAAAGATAAATGGCATTGAGAAATAAGAATTTTGTTAGTTTTATTTCGAAGAAAAAAAAAGCATGAGAGCTGAATGGGAAATATGCTTTATTCTGCAATAGAAAATAAATTCAAAATTTAATAGGCCACTAACTTCCCAATGGATGTACATGTTAAGATTTAGCCTACAACTATTCCATTCCAAACTAAGGAGTATTGAGTAAAATTCAAAAAAATATAGTAAGAAGGAAAGATTATTGCTACTGTTGTTCTTAGAAACAAAAATATGTTCATGACCAAACCTTTAATTAAATAAAATTTTAGAAAACTTAAAAACTTATATTTTTTAAATAAGTGATGGCCACTCATGTGCAGAACTAAAAATATAGTTTATTTAATTTGTGTCTAGAGTGACAAACAATTTCTTACTGAACTTCTAATTACAAGAATACTTTATAACCAATAAAAAAGTAAGCCTAAAGTATTTGACATAGAATTTTCCTCACAAAAAATGTTTGAAACTGAATATAATTGGAACAAGACGAAATTTCTTAATCCTATTTCAAAATAGTCTTTCTTGTTTTTACCCCTGTTTGTTCAGAATGGAATAGACCATATGAGAACTTTTGCAAACATATACCTGATGATGCTGAAGCTAGATATAAAAACATCCGATTAACTTATATGTAAAATGTTTGCATAAATTGCTTTAAAATAGTATAGCACACATATTACGACACAACATATGCTGCAGAAGAACAATATTAAAACACAATATAAATCAACAATGTGCTTAAAATCAAACAGTTCCTAATAATTTTTACTCTTAAAAATGTTTCTTCTTAAAAAAATAACAACATTTGTAACAACAATTTTACAAATACCAGTAGGAGCTAAATTTGTAAACTAATTCTCAAAACAGGTAAAACTGCTAAGATCATGAAAATCTATGGTAAACAACATTCAGGAAAAGTTAACTCTGACACTCTAATTTAAAATAATACATACCCGTGATTTACACATTAACATAACTTTGTCAAACAAGAAGATGTATCTGAAAAATAAAGGATATACGTTTAAATTAAAGAGCACATTGATAAAGACATGTACAGTATCATTTATCTTTTACAAGGCAACCAGAAGGCACCATATGAAGTGTTTTTTAAATGTACAATACATAATTAGTTGCTGATCGAGTCCCACTGGCTATGTACATGTAATTATTCTAACCAGAAAGCAGTAAGGATTATGCAGGCCAAATTAGGAAAAAAAATGAACCTTTAGTGTAGTAGAAGATATCTAATGCTTTGCTGGTTATTGTAATGAAATGAATTTAATTTCTTTTGGCAGTGTATCTTCTAGTCTTATGCTTGTCCTGAACATGCATGAAATATTTGTCACTGGACATAATCAACCAACAATCAATCTATTCTTATGATACAAATCTGACTTTTGTTTTATAATCTTTTGGCAGTGTATATTCTATTCTTAATATATAAATCTGACTGTTAGTTTTATTATCTTTTGGCAGAGTATATTCTATTCTTATAAAGATATAAATCTGTCTCTGATTTTTTTATTTTCTGACAGTGTATATCCAATTTTTAAAATACAAACCTGACTCTAGTTTTATTATCTACATGATTTTTTACTTTCAGTTCGCCATCTTTCTGTAACCTCCCATAATCCTTTAATGTGGTATTAGGAGGCTGAAATTACAGTAAAATAAAAGTTAACTCATAAAAATATAAATTTTTACGCCAGACGCCTGTTCATAAAAGACTCATCAGTGATGCTCGAATAAAAAAAAGTTAAAAAGCCAAATAAAGTAAGAAGTGATGACTGTGGTAGTTACAGAAAGAAAGAAAGTTCAAAGACAAATTATCCATTCCACATTGTACTGAAAGATCAGTGTGGTATTCTATATTAACTTATTAATTACAATGTGCAAATGAATAACAAAACAAAACAAAACAATGTTGTACAAATTTACTCTCTTACCTGTATATTTTGGTCTGACACCAAATGCATCATATCTTAATAGTTTTTTTTCAAAAGTGTATAAAAATAAAATGTGTAGTTTCTGAGAAAAAATGTAAGAAAATTTCATTGGACGGACAAAGGTGAAACAAGTATACCCCTCCTTAGGAGCGGGATTATCATTTTAAAATCTAAAAGCTTTCGACTTAACAAGGTCAATACTACATGATGTATTATAAAATCTGTTAGTTGATCTCATCATCAGGAAGTCTGACCAAATCATTTTGCTTCATGCACATCTTCATTTGATATACTTTTTTTGTGTAAACTTTCACCTAAATTCATCAACAGTTTAAAAAATTTGACCCTAAACTTTCACCGAAAGACAGGATGGTTTCATTACAACCCCAAACTTAAATCCTTCTTAAGACTAAATACCTGATGAAAATGAAACTGATCTTGTCTGTAGTGTTACTCATATGAATCTAGCATATATTAATGTACAGTTTTTCATTTTTATTCATTTCTACTGTTTTTAAAATACTTACCATTTGAAGATCACCAATACTAAAATAGAAATGAACTGATATTACATACATTTCAACATACATTTCTATTAAAAAATATAACTTTTAAAAATCTTTTTGAATATGATTGTGAGAGAAGTTTCGAGATGTTTTTGAACAATTAGATAAATTGCTTCGCCAAGCGCAGCTGGATACGACCGCAGAGGTCCAACCCTGAAGGGTTGGGGCAAAAATGGACACAATATTCGCGCTTGATACAGGTCTGAATTTGGATTGTAATTAAATATTTGACACATATTAGGTTTCTGACACACACAGAATAACTGTAGTCAAAGAACTTAGAATTGGTTATATAATTTGAATTTATATTCAATTTCTTGCTCTTGTGCAATACACTGTGCTTTTGCGCAATACTTTATAAATCTGTTTTCAGACAATATACAAAGAATTAGCAATTGTGACACACGATTTTTCTTTGGAAAATTGACAATTTTTTAAATCCAAAATCTAAATACATACACGGTTAGATTCAGCATATCAAAGAACCCCAAGAATTCTATTTTTGTTAAAATCAAATTAACTTTAATTTTGGACCCTTTGAACCTTAATGTAGACCAATTTGAAAACGGGACCAAAAATTTAGAAGCGAAATACACGGTTAGATTCAGCATATCAAAGAACCCCAATATTTCAATTTTTTGATGAAATCAAACCATATCATTATTATTTGCTTTTATATATAAATCAAAAATAACCAACTTAAAATGGAAAATTTTAAAGAAAAAAAAAAGGGAAAAAAGGAAAAAAAAAAAGGGAAAAAAATATCCCCCCCCATTTTTTGAACCCCCTTATGATTCATCACCCCCAAACTCAACCCCAGCCTTCCCTTTGTGTTATGGTACCTTGCAGTACAATTTCAGAGAGATCCTTACACTTGAACACAAGTTATTGTCTGGAACTAGAAAAACGTCATACCAATATACGACCGCCAAATTTTTTTGCGGTCGTATAAAAATGCTTATTTGGGCCCCTTTTAGGCCCCCAATTCCTAAACTGTTGGGACCATAACCCCCAAAATCAATCCCAACCTTCCTTTTGTATTTTTTAAAACCTTGTGTTTAAATTTCATAGATTTCTATTTACTTATACTAAAGTTATTGTCCGGAAACCAAATGTCTTCGGACCACGCTGACGCCGCTGACGTGATACCAATATACGACTGCAAAATTTTTTGCGGTCGTATAAAAACTACAATGTGCTATTAATGAAAACAACTTAACATTTGTAAAATACATTTTACTTTAATAAAACGACTATTTCAAGAAAAAAAATCTGATTTTTTACATAACATTTACAACCGAAATAGATTCATACACAATTACTTCTAAAAATAGAAAATACTTTTTTATGATCATTTCAAGAAACTGCAGGAATGTGGCTCTATAAATGTTCTTATATTCTCGTTACAATCACTTTTCTTGTTTTGTTTAAGTAAAAGCCATTTAACAACTTACCTGTTTTGAATTTCCTGTATTAATTGTAAAGTTTCGTTGTCACGTTTTACCTCATTTACATATAAGGAGAGATCCTATAATAAACAAATCAAAATCAGAAAGTGAAAAGGATCATCATTATGTAAAGTTTATTACATGTTTAGGGTATTACAGAATGTTCACTCCACATGTTTAAATCAATCTCTGTCTTTTTTCTAGGCTATACAATATAAATTCTGATAATATATTTTGATTTTTTTTTACTTATTTTATATAAACACCGAGATAGATTTTTTTTATTAGTTTGGATAGAAATGGAAAAAGACGACACTTATAAAAACGATGTATTTTTTTTTATATCAACAACAACATCCTAAATAAGGTAGAAAAATACTATTGTGAAAACGGAGTTTCATCAATGAATTCTAATTTTAATTAAAAACAAATCAAGTTCTAAGGCCATATAACCTGGATAAAGCAATGAGGTTGCTATAAAAAGTACACAACTGTTAATCTCAGATGATGGTAAATGCCTGTAGTTCATATTATTTACAGTGCTCAAAAGACATAAATTCTGTACACCAAAGTTTCTTTTTAAACATAGTGCCCCAAATTTTCAAGTGAGTTGTTCATAATCAAAATTACAATTAAAAGTTTTGATCATTTGCAAACATATTTTCAAATCTAACACTTTATTAGACAACTTGTACCCCCTAACTCCTCCCCCCCCCCCCAAAAAAAAAAAAACAAAACAACAAAACAACTTGTATAAGCTATGGCAAGATTTCATACATTGGCACATCAAGTCCAACATTTTTAAAGTTGATATTACTGACATACCCATATCTCATAGAAATAATACCATACAATCTAGTGATTATTTCATATACAAATTCTGTGCATTTATTTATTTTTCATTGGTTTTAACTTTCATGGAATAAGAAGAAATGGTATTTTTTGTGGATATTTGATTTTGTGGTTTCACTAAAGTCTGCATACAAGTCTACAGAAAATATGTACTACGTTGAACTTTAAATTTCAAAATAATAGTTCACATATATCAACAAAATAATAATTCACATATACCAACAAAATAATAGTTCACATATACCAACAAAATAATAGTTCACATATACCAACAAAATAAAAAAGATCCACAGTATGCAATGATATCTTAGAAAAATAATTTTTATGAAAGTGTTTTACCATCATTGCTTCTAAAGCTCTTTCAAGTCTCTCCTTTTCTTCAGAACCTTTCTCTGTACTTTTTATTAGTTCCTGTAACATAAAATTGTAAGAGTTAAAAAATCAGACAGTTTTTTTTGAAGTATGCAGTTTTAACTTATTCATATTTTTTTAAAAGGATATGATCAGCAAGGCCTAAATTAAGCCCCAAATAAAATGCTCCGCTGGGCGCAGCTTGATACGACCGCAGAGGTCGAACCCTGAACAGTTGGGGCAAGTATGGACACAACATTCAAGCTTGATACAGCACTGAATTTGGATTGTGATTAAATATTTGACACAGCATAGGTTTCTGACACAGAATGAATGTGGTCTAAGAACTTAAAATTTTTTAATTTACCTATTCAAACCATATCATTATAATTTGCTTTTATATATAAATCAGAAATAACCAACTTAAAATGGAAAATTTTAATGAAAAAAAAATACCTCCCCTAAATTTTTTTAACCCCCTTATGATTCATCACCCATAAACTCAATCCCAGCCTTCCCTTTGTGGTATGGTACCTTGCAATACAATTTCAGAGAGATCCATACACTTGAACACAAGTTATTGTCTGGAAACTAGAAAAATGCTTGTTTTTAGGCCCCTTTTTGGCCCCAAATTCCTAAACGTTTAGGGCAATTACCCCCAAACTCAAACCCAGCTTTCCCTTTGTGATATGGAACCTTGTAGTACAATTTCAAAAAGATTCATACACTAACACACAAGTTATTGTCCTGAAACTAGAAAAATGCTTGTTTTTTGCCCCCTAATTTCTAAAATTTTGAGGCAATTACCCCCAAAATCAATCCCAGCCTTCCCTTTGTGGTATGGTACCTTGCAGTATAATTTCAGAGAGATCCAAACACTTGAACGCAAGTTATTATCTGGAAACTAGAAAAATGCTTATTTTTGGCCCCCTTTTGGCCCCTTATTCTTAAACGTTTTGGGCAATTACCCCCAAACTCAAACCCAGTTTTCCCTTTGTGATATGGAACCTTGTAGTACAATTTCAGAAAGATCCATAGACTTACACACAAGTTATTGTCATGAAACTAGAAAAATGCTTGTTTTTTGCCCCTTTTTTGCCCCGAATTCCTAAAATCTTGAGGCAATTACCCCCAAAATCAATCCAAACATTCCCTTTGAGATATGGAACCTTGCAGTACAATTTCAGAGATATCCATACACTTGAACACAAGTTATTGTCTGGAAACTAGAAAAATGCTTATTTGTGGCCCCTTTTTGGCCCCTTATTCCTTAACGTTTTGGGCAATTAACCCCAAACTCAATCCCAGCTTTCATTTTGTGATATGGAACCTTGTAGTACAATTTCAGAAAGATCCATAGACTTACACACAAGTTATTGTCATGAAACTAGAAAAATGCTTGTTTTTTGCCCCTTTTTTAGCCCATAATTCCTAAAATTTTGAGGCAATTACCCCCAAAATCCATCCAAGCATTCCCTTTGTGATATGGAACCTTGTGGTACAATGTCAGAGAGATCCATACACTAACACACAAGTTATGTCTGGAAGTTACAAAAATGCTTATTTTTGGCCCCTAATTCCTTAACTGTTGGTACCATAACCCCCAAAATCAATCCCAACCTTCCTTTTGTGGTATTGAACCTTATGGTAAAATTTTATAGAGATCCATTCACTTAAACTAAAGTTAGAGTGCGAAAACTAATGTGTCTTCGGACGACGACGACGACGCCAGCACCAACGTCATACCAATATACGACCACAAAATTTTTTTTGCGGTCGTATAAAAACTGGACTTTGTAATATCATATCTAATAACCAATATTTACTATCTAAGATATTCAAATTTAGATAAACTAGACATTCTTTCTGTCTACTTTTTGTTTTTGACAATGTTGATAGCTTCAAAAGTATAATATTTACAAATTTTAACCATATTTCCCATAAAAATTGTAAAATCAAAATGACAATATATAATATTCAACAACACATGATAACATCCAAAGCTACTAAGTAAGTTTCAGTGGGTTCGCATTCCAAAGGTGTCAGTGTGGTACAAAGTCCTTAACTCCCATAAATATGGTCAATTCAAAATGACGGTATAATATGGTCAATTACACATGATGGCAAAAAATCCTGCCAAGTATGAGAGCTTTCTGGCCAACAATGGTAATAAACTGCTTTGCCAAGCGCAGCAGGATACAACCGCAGAGGTCCAACCCTGAACAGTTGGGGCAAAAATGGACGCAATATTCAAGCTTGATACAGGTCTGATTTTGGATTGTAATTAAATATTTGACACATTATAGGTTTCTGACACAGAATAAATGTAGTCAAAGAACTTGAAATTGGTTGTATGATTTGAATTTATTTTCAATTGAAGATTTCTTGCTGTTGTGCAATACTTAGTAAATTAGATATAAAAAGATGTGGTATGAGTGCCAATGAGACAACTCTCCATCCAAGTCAAAATTTATAAAAGTAAACCAATATAGGTCAAAGTACAGTCTTCAACACGGAGCCTTGGCTCACACCGAACAGCAAGCTATAAAGGGCCTTAAAAATTACTAGTGTAAAACCACTCAAACAGGAAAATGCTTTTAGACCCTTTTTGGCCCCTAATTCCTGAACGGTTTGGGCAATTACCCCCAAAATGAATCCCAACCTTCTACTTATGGTATTTAACCTTATGGTACAATTCTAGTGCAATCAAAATACTTATACACAAGTGATGGTCCTAGAAAAATGCTTGTTTTGGCCCCTTTTTGGCCCCTAATTCCTAAACGGTTAGGACCATCACCCCAAAAACAATCCCAACCTTCCTTTTGTGATATTGTCCCTTTTGGTTAAATTTCATAGAGATCCATACACTTAAACTAAAGTTATTGTCAGGAAACCAAATGTCTTCGGACGACGACGTGATACCAATATACGACCGCAAATTTTTTTGCGGTCGTATAAAAATAAAGGTCAAAGTCCTATAACTCCCATAAAAGTGGTAAAATCAAAATTATGGTACCATATGATCAACAACACATGGTGGCCAACAATCCTAACAAGAATATGAGCTTTCTGTCAAATAGTCTCAGAGGAGTCGTGTTCACAAGGTGTCAGTGTTTTTATACTAAAAAAAAAAGTGGAAGTCCCATATCTTCCATAAAAGTGGTCAGATGAAAATAATAATATAATATGGTCAACTACACATGATAGCAAACAATCCTACCAAGAATGAGAACTTTCTGTTAAATGGACTAAGAAATGGTCCTATAACTCAAGTAAAAATGGTCAAATTAAATGGCAGTATAATATGGTCAACTACACATAATGGCAAACAATAGTACTAAGTATGAAAGCTTTATGTCCAATGTCAAAGAGTATTGATGTGTTTGGACAGATGGAGACCTTTAATACACCTTATCGCTGTAAAGTCCAATCAGGAAAAAAACAGTCATTTAGACAACTTCCTATTTGGGTCAAGGATTGCAAATACAAAGGTTATCAGTAATGAGCTGAGGAAGGAAAATGTTTAGAAAGCGGACATTTTGAAGCTATGATAGATTATGATCCACTTTTTTAAAACACAAATTAAAATCATTAAAATGCTTTGTATGAGGTGTTTATGATGGTTTAAACATGTCTCTTTGAAAAGTTTTGTGCATAATACATTGCTTAAACAGGGCCCCAGATAGCTTCAACTGTATGAAAAAGTTGTGTAATTTCAGAACTTATCCAGATTGGAGTAAATAGCGATAAGGTGTATGTATCCCCTGCTGCATGACAATGAATCTTTTTTTTTAATTACCCGTAATAATAGATGATATTTGAGGACTCTCTGCATTGGTACATGTAGGAGATCACGTAATCTGAATTTTCCTTCATTTGCTCTTTTTTCACAAGCCTGAAAAAAATCAAAATTAAATGAAAAATAATCACATATACATCAAGAGAACTGGTTCATATAGACAAATAGAACTTATTAATGCAAAAAGATCAAATGAATATTTAAAAGACTTTTCATACACGACTTTATTGCTAATCGAAAGGCCTTTTTGTGAAACAGGCTACACTGTTAATATGTACCCGTTATCACAGAGCATACCCTGAGTCATCCACACTCTTCTTGTTGTATTGTTAACAAAGAATAATATATTAAAAATTTGTTAAAGCGTTTTCATGTTATTGTGCGGACACTGTTTGGCAGCCGCCAAACTGCCCAGCCGCCCGCCGTATATCACCATTTTAGTAACTGATATTTCCTTCGAAAATCCGGTTGAAAATGTTAACAGTTTATTAACAGCTTATATATCCAATTGTTTCCTTGGCAGTTTGTATTTATATTTTTACTGTTGTTTCATTGGAAGATGTGATACAGCATCCTTATAGGGGAGGGGTTGACTTACCTCTACCTGTTGACGTATTGAGTCTGATCGTTTTAACACATCATCAATCCTTTCTTGTGCTTTTGGTAAATTTGAACAATAATCACCATATATTAACAGTTTTGTTTTGTATTTACAAAAAACATCCTCCAATCGTGGTTTTCCAAGTAATATAGCATTTTGTATTTCTTTTTGAAACAGTTCATGAATTCGTAATAATTTCTGAAAAAAAACAAAGTATATTTGTTAAATATCAAAAATGATATTAATGAAAGTACTTCTGAAACACTTTTATATAAATATATATGTTTTTCTATATCAAACTGTATATAGTACCTTTTTAATCAAGATATATAATAATTTTTGTTAAAAAAAAAGGACTAACAGGAATAGTATCTTTAGACAAGAAGTAATTCACTGCAAAACCATGTTAATGCACAGTCATTAACACAAATTAATGCAACATATATATAATAATTATTTTCGTTATTGTACTAGAATAGTTCAGTTAAAATATCTATATAAATGCTGCTCCAGTTTAGCAAATCCAAATATTTAAAATGGTGGCAATTGTGCATCATGTATGAGTGTTAAGGTCTAAAAAAATAAATGGGGAATATGTCCATGGGACACAGATGATGCCTCCCCGCTTGCATATAACATTATAAAGGTCATAACTCTAGAAAGGTAAAAGTGACGCCACCCAAATTCAAACTTGATCTGTGTTTTGTGGAAATAAGCATTATGTATAAGTTTCATAACATTTGGTTGAGGCGAACTAAAGTTAGAGAACGGAAATCAATTTCCGGAAGTACGGACAGACAAGGGTAAAACTTAATGCCCCCTCCACTATGGTGGGGCATAAACAATTTTTTTGTGTTTTGTTTTCTATCAAAAACTTTGGAGTATCTTCTTCCCTTTTTAAAAATGAGGATAAGGAAGTTGCATACTTTGAAAAAACCAGTCTTTTACAATTACAATTTACCATTAGAGTAGATAATAATTCTTACCTCTATATGGTTGAATATAATATTTCTGTCATCAGGTGGTATTACATCTTTTAAAGGCTTTATAAAATGCTGAAAAGACATATTTCAACATAGAAATATAATTTGGAATTAAATATGAAACAAAAAGATTTGGAAGATGTAAGCATTAGACCATATCATATAATAAAACTAATATTAAACTAGAGGCTCTCAAGAGCCTGTGTCGCTCACCTGTATTTACTGATGCTTTGGAAATCATGTAAAATAAGGTTAAAATCATAATTAATAGTATTAGATATTAGATATTATAATGATATCTAAGATAATAACAAAAAACTGCAAAATTTTTGTAAAATTACTAACTCAGGGGCAGCAACCCAACAATGGGTTGTCGGATTCGTCTGAAAATTTCAGGGCAGATATATCTAAATCTGATGAACATTTTTGCTACCTGTCAGATTTGCTCTAAATGCTTTAGTTTCAGAGATATAAACCAAAAACTGCATTTTACCCCTATGTTCTATTTTTAACCAAGTCGGCCATGATGGTTGGATGGTGGGGTCATCGGACAAATTTTTTAAACTAGATACCCTAATAATGATTATGGCCAAGTATGGTTAAATTTGTCTCTGTAGTTTCAGAGAAGAAGAATTTTGTAAAAGATTACAAAAATTTACAAAAAATTGTTAAAAATTGACTATTAAGGGCAATAACTACTAAAGGGGTCGACTGACAATTTTGGTCATGACATCTTTATTGTAGATCTTACTTTGCTGAACATTATGATGTTTACAGTTTATCTCTATCTATAATAATATTCAAAATAATAACCAAAAACTGCAAAATTTTCTTAAAATTGCCAATTTAGTGACAGAAACCCAACAACAGGTTCTCCGATTCATCTGAAAATTTCAGGGCAGATAGATCTTGACCTGATAAACAATTTAACCACATGTCAGATTTGCTCTAAATGCTTTGGTTTCAGAGGTATAAGCCAAAATCTACATTTTACCCCTATGTTCTATTTTTAGCCATGGCGGCCATCTTGGTTGGTTGACCGGATCACCGGACACATTTTTTAAACTAGATACCCCAATGATGATTGTGACCAAGTTTGGTTAATATTGACCCAGTAGTTTCAGAGGAGACGATTTTTGTAAAAGTTAACAGACGACGCCGGACGACGACGACGGACGACGGACGCAAAGTGATGAGAAAAGCTCACTTGGCCCTTCGGGCCAGGTGAGCTAAAAATGCTTAATAAGCAAACAGTCAAGCCACATTTTTCTTCTCTATCAAATATTCTATGCATTAAATAGACTGATTGGATACATATTTTCTCGATTTCTAGATGTATTTATATCAGGGAAGATTGAAGTATCACATTCACAACAATTTATATTCACATTATTTCTATACTTGCAAAAGTCATAAACATTTGTTTGTTTACAGTAGTTGTTCAGTGTCATGCATTGTCAACATTGTTGTTTGTGCTGTTCATTATTAACATTTTTTGTGTTATTCATTGTTAACATTATTGTTTGTTTCATTCAATGCAAAACAGTTGTTTGTGTTATCCATTGTCAATGTAATTGTTCATGTAATTCATTGTCAGAATAGTTTTTTTTGTGTCATTCATTGTTAACATAGTTGTTTTGTCATTCATAGTAAACATAGTTGTTTTGTCATTCATAGTAAACATAGTTGTTTGTGTCATTCACTGTAAACATAGTTGTGTCATTCATAGTAAACATAGTTGTTTTGTCATTCATAGTAAACATAGTTGTTTTGTCATTCATAGTAAACATAGTTGTTTGTGTCATTCACTGTTAACATAGTTGTTTGTGTCATACATGGTTAAAATAGTTGTTTTGTCATTCACTGTTAACATAGTTGTTTGTGTCATTCACTGTAAACATAGTTGTTTGTGTCATTCACTGTAAACATAGTTGTGTCATTCACTGTAAACATAGTTGTGTCATTCATAGTAAACATAGTTGTTTTGTCATTCATAGTAAACATAGTTGTTTTGTCATTCATAGTAAACATAGTTGTTTTGTCATTCATAGTAAACATAGTTGTTTGTGTCATTCACTGTAAACATAGTTGTGTCATTCATAGTAAACATAGTTGTTTTGTCATTCATAGTAAACATAGTTGTTTATGTCATTCATAGTAAACACAGTTGTGTCATTCACTGTAAACATAGTTGTTTGTGTCATTCACTGTAAACATAGTTGTGTCATTCACTGTAAACATAGTTGTGTCATTCATAGTAAACATAGTTGTTTTGTCATTCATAGTAAACATAGTTGTTTTGTCATTCATAGTAAACATAGTTGTTTTGTCATTCATAGTAAACATAGTTGTTTGTGTCATTCACTGTAAACATAGTTGTGTCATTCATAGTAAACATAGTTGTTTTGTCATTCATAGTAAACATAGTTGTTTTGTCATTCATAGTAAACATAGTTGTTTTGTCATTCATAGTAAACATAGTTGTTTGTATCATTCACAGTAAACATAGTTGTTTGTGTCATTCACAGTAAACATTGTTGTTAATATCATTCACAGTCCACATAGTTGTTTGTGTAATATTTTGTTAACAGTTGTTATTTTAACCTGGAGTTTAACTTTCTGAGAAAAATGAGACAAAAATTTTATAAATGCCTAATATATGTAAGAATATATAAGTATTGGATAAATAAGAAGTGGATGAGTGATGATTCTGAAAATGAATCACATTGTATAGCATGCTCACATGGAGTTTGATACCAAATTTCAAGAAACTCTATATTCTAGTCCCTGAGAAAACCACTACCAAAATTTAAGGGTGTAGACAGACTTTTTGAAGTGGTATAATAAGGTGATTCATCTATACATAACTTTGCTATGTTAGTTTGCGTAAACTGAATGGAAATATATAACAGCTACAGTTATGTATAAGTATGCCACCTGTTTGTACGAAAAATAATTAAAGTTCTCAGCAACCACAAATTGATGCTCAGGCTTTTTTTTCATACAAATGGGCTGAGACCTTGCCTGAACTGGCTGACAGGGTGAGCTGGACACTGTTGGTTAGTAACTTTCAGTTTTGAGTTTCCTTAGGTTGAGTTTTGTAGTTCTCTGGGTCTCCATAGCCATCAACATTGTTTTTCTTGTGGAAAAAAAAGAGTATATACATTTGCTGAGACCACTGTGTGTTTCTATTTTATTTTTTGCATAGCTCTTCCTGTTGTATGAAAAGTTTTCTCTAATTCAAGATCATAACAAACAATAGCATCTGCTGCCATCACCACTAAATATTTAGCATTAAGAAGTAAGAGCAAAGACCAATTAGATCTAAATAGTAATATAGGGTGCCATGTCTTCCTGTGTGATTATAAAGAGACCAACACCCACTGCATATTTCAATTGATATGAAACATGAAATGCCATCAACAACCATCAGAGAAATACCTGACTTGTAACAGACAAATAAACATGACTGATTACACTTGTAATGAATTCATGAAAATTATTCAGAAATTAACTGGTTTCAGATTCTCGGCTTTGTGTCACATACCTCATACCACTTTTGAATCAATCACAACAACTACTTGCATTGAAGTATAAACAAATGTAATCTCTACAGTAAACAAGCTTGTTATATCTTGAACAAACTTGGAAAAAGATATAGAGAATGATTTCTGTCCATTTAACCTTGACAACACAACCAAGCCTAACTGTGCTTACTATTGCCAAGGCGACAATGGATGAGTTGTCATGATGTCATACAAAGATGGCAGTCCTGAGATATAAAACCTTTTACTTTTTCATCACTAACCAGACTGGTAAATTTCAAACACATCTGAGCTTCACATTGGAAAAAAATTATTTCAATATTCTTTAACCTTATATTATCAGGAACAGCAAATAGAGACTGCCTGCCAGATAAAAGTAACTGAATAAAAACTTTTAAACCACTGACCCTTCCTTAACAAAAACAACACCTTTTTTTGGGACACAATTTTTTTGTAGTCTGGCATTAAAGTTCTCTCATTTGTTTATGGATTATTTTTTTGTTGTCCAGGATGATGGATATATAAATACTGGATGAGTATGATACTCTAACAAAAGGTGTCAAGGTAGTTAAACAGAAAAAAATAAATTATGATTGATTGATTTTGGGTGTTTTAACGCCACTTCCAGCACTACTGGCTATTTCCTGGAGGCCAGATTTATTGGTGGAGGAAGCAGGATTATCCCAGAGAGAACCACAGACCTTCAGCAGGAAAACTAGCAATCCTAGTAATTTAAGATTGGAGTCAAATGCACCTGCCACATGCATGGCTCAAAACTGACAACCTCAGTGTTGACTGGCTAGTGGTAAAGTAGTTGAACTACTTAGACCACCCGGCCAACAAGGCTCCCAAGAATAAACTTGATCCAGACACTGTAGCAATTTGTTTAACATTAATCAAGCATTTACCTGGTACATCATGCGTAGTGCATCAACATAATTCTTTTCTGTATCATATAATTCCTTGATGCAGAAATCTCTTTTTGTGGTTGGAGGAGGCAATTCTGAAACCTGAAGCAAATCATTATTACAAGTGAGGAATTTCCAAATGCAGCCTTCACATTTTTTACTTTTTGTGTCTTACTACATCCCCAATTATTCTATAACTCAGGTCATCACCTTTTTATTACTCAAAATTTGACCTGTATGAGGTTTATGAAACAGAATCTAGTATATTCCCAGCATCTAATAAAATACTTTTTTATTTTATTCAAAGATAAAGCTGTTAAGTTATGATTTATTGGACTTCCCTTTGCACGGTGTTTTTGAAATTTGCTGTATGTATATATGACAGATGAAAACAAAAAAAATAAAAGCTTTATAATATGTCAAAATTAAACAAAATAAACTTACTATTTATGCTATGTCATTTTTTCTAGCAGTCAATATAATGACACTAGCAAATAAGACTAAAATTACCATGCATAAGACTAATTACACCTCTTTTTTTTCCTTAGGATGCAGTGTTCATCTTTTGGTTAAATATAACTTGTAATTAAATATAATGCTGGGTTAAATCTTTTGGTTCATGGTTACATAACCAATGGATAAATCTGGTTCTCAACTTTTTTTTTATTGAGGTCTAGATCAAGGTTAAATCTGAATCCTTTAACCAAGGATTTAACAATAGATTAAATTTTAGACCATGGTTACAAAATTAATCTTATGTTAAAATTCAACCAAGATATGAACGAACAACTGGGTCTTTATATTAAGACATAAACTGTATTTTACACTTATCCCTTCTTAGCAATATTTCAATGCCTCTTCAATCATCAGTTTTACAAGAAATTATTTATATTACTCTATAATTCCATTACATGTATGTTTCCTTTGAATCCATAGTTTTGATTGGCTGACCACAATTGTGAGGCACTTCAAAATTTATATTCTATTATTGTATATATTACAACAGCTTTGTTTGCAGGTGTTATCTGTGACAATGTTAAAGCAATGCATAGAAAAACAAACAACAAGCTTGATATAACTTTTAAATTCTATGGTTGTAGCATAAAAATGTGATTATAAGAATTGAATGGGTCTTTTTATAATTTTGGAAGGGATGTAAAAGCGTTTATTGTGCACCATTTTAGTCTGAAGCACTTCCAGGCTTCATACAAAATGTGCTTTGATCAACCCTTTTACACCCCTATCAAATCATAAAAAGAAATATTCAATTCTTAAATAATTTGCAATTTTTAAAAATTGCTTGATCAGTGCTTACTCTAGATTCCCTGTGCTTTTTTCTAGAACAAAGATCTTCATAAATTTCTTCGTCGTCCTCTTGATAAACTTTATCATATATTTCTTCATTGTCATCCAAATCATTTTCACTATATAATAATAAAACAAAAACATGCTTCAACTAAAGGACAAAATCACAACATACAAAGAAATGAAAACACATAGGTACTGACAACACAACAGGGGAGACAATTATGTCCTTGCTAAGGGGAGACAATTTCTGTCAACACCGGATAGCTTACTGTTTGCATATGGATGGCATGACAACTGGTGATTGTGTTTGTTAAGTTAAACATAGTTTTTTGCCAAATAAATAAATGAACTTGAAACTCAAAACACAATTCTGACATTCTAAATTCTAATGCATATTTGCACTTCTTATGACTTTTAAGAAAACATTAACTTAAATTTGAGTAAAAAGTCAACTTCACTTTTGTCCCAAAAACTTTGAACATTTCATATGATATGTCATTCATGTACATTGCATTGCTAATTTGCTATAAAATGCAATCTGGTGTTAATTTGTGTTTTATTTTTCTCCTGTGGGATATAACAAAGACAGAAATCATCTCCCAAAATTTCTTGTCATATTTTTTTTATCTTATTTATATCCCTTTTTCAAACATTACTAAATTCTGTTCATACACAACTAAACAGCATGCTCTGTAAGAAAAACTATTGAGATGCAAACTGAAACTAAAAAAAAATCATATCACATAAACCTAAAATTTCATTTTCGTCTGACAAAACAAAATCATAACTTCAGCTATTCAGGATTTGCTTGACCAAAATGCTTTAGTACAAATATAGTTCAACTAACTCAAATAATTCTGTTCCCCATAAATAAAAAAAAGAGAAATGGAGGAGGGGGCTTATAATTACAATTTTTATAAAGATTTCATTGAAATTACAAGTATGCAGAAAGGCCAAAACATGTTGTCTAAATATTGAGGTACATGTCCTCTCAAAGTAAAATTCCTCAAACACAAAAAAGGCAAGCAAAACCCAAACAACTGTTGAGAGTCTCTTTAGAGCTACTCTTTGAAAATGGTTCAAATGTACAAAGCAATTCTTACACCCAAATTCATGCATGTATTAACCAATTTTCTTTCAGCTGATTAGTTTGATTTGTATTTGACTTATTTCTTTTTAAACATTTTTTTAGCAGTGCAAACTTTACTCAGTACTCAAGAGTACAAAATTTGTGCTCCAAACACCAAATCCAGTATTTTGATCGGTTGATTTCTGAGTCTGAGTACGATAATTGTGCTCGAAATTTTTATGACTGCAAGGCATGAATGATATTTCAGCAGCTCTTCTTAGTATTAAAATAGAATTGACCATCTCTATAATTTGATAGGGAATCAATTTCACAAAAATAACACATGATAAACATAATGAACATCCCCCTTCCCCCACCCATTTCAAAAGAGAAACTCTAAAGATATAAATTAAGTGAGTCTAAGTAAAACTACAATAATTAATCCGTCTTTCTGGGTAAAACTAAATCCATGCTTTCAACAACATCTATGATCTGCAGTCACATGACTATCACATGACCAATACCTGTGAAGAATGTTTTACAGAACAGATTTCAACATATATTTTTTCCTCCTGATCTCCCGTTTGGAACTCTGCTTCATCTGGCATGTCATGATCCCTGTAACAGGCACATATTAATTTTACACTCAATAAAGAAATGCATTACAACTCCCCCTTTTTTTGCCTAGACTTTTGATACTATCATTATGTTAAGTTGCATTTAACTCTATGGTTTGTATTGACACAAACTCAAACGGAGAAACTCATTGCAGTTTTAATACAGGGAAATGTGGGTAAAGATGATTCAACTAAACCATAAAAAAGTGTCCATTGCAAAATATTTCCCCCAACCCAAAACTGAATCAAGTCGTTAATATGAAAAAAATTACAGGTCATTTCTAAACTATAAGATGGAGAAATTACTATCCCAAATGTATCAACTGACTTTATATATCATTCCTTTATAACTGGTATTATATTCAGACTTAGACTTAACACATCATTCATGAATGAAATGTAGGGCATTGTGACTTAATTTTTTAATGCATCTTGATGTGTAACTGAAAAAAATATGATCATCAACAGATAAACTTGAAATCAAAAGAAGACTTGCTATTCCTCTTTCCATCTCTGTAGACGAATTCTGGATTTAGACTAACAGAGGTCATCTTGAAAACAGTGCTATCACATTTAGAATGTATTTTGTTATTGCTTCACTGATGTACTTACCAATATTGATAAAAATTTCAAATGAAGGATGAAAATTTGTAAAGTTCAATGAAACTACATCTTGTTGCAATGAAAAGCAACTGATGAAAATGTCAATCAATAAATGCAATAAAAGTTGAATCTAGTTATAAATATACTGATAATCGTATTTACTTTCAAAAAATTGATTTTACTGAAATAAAGTCAACAAAATGATGTAAAAACACTGAGATAAGGACAATTTATTAGAGAAACTTACATTGCCATTTCTGGCAGATGGCCATAAATGTCATCATCTTCATCTGGAACTCTTCTAGTTGACTGTCTGTGACTGGGAGCATCTGTTGGAAAACCACTATAAAAGAAAAATAATTGACAGTATCCTTCAAAAAATGTTGGTCCATTTGAGAAATTTTGCTACTTTAAAAGGTTGAATACAAATCATACCAAAATAAATGGAGAATGTGTCCAGTGTGTGTCCACTGGACACAGATATGCCCCCGCTTGCATATAATGCTATAAAGGGACATAACTCCAGAACAGTAAAAGTGACGCCACCCAAATTCAAACTTGATCTGAGTTTTGTGGTAATAAGCATTGTGTATAAGTTTCATAACATTTGGTTGAGGCAAACTTAAGTTAGACAAAGGAATTCAACAATTTTTCCGTTTGTAAAGGGGCAAAACTCTAGAATGGTAAAAGTGACGCCACCCAAATTCAATCTTGATCTGTGTTTTGTGGTATGAAGCATTGTGTATATAGGAAAGTTTCATAACTTTTGGTTGAGGCAAACTAAAGTTAGAGAACAGAAACTAATTTTGGAACATACGGACGAAGTAGGTACGGACGGACGTACAGAAGGACAATGTCACAAGGGTAACACTTAATGCCCTCTCTGCTGTGGGCATAAATAGACTTTTAATCAAAGACTTAAACTTTATAACAACATCTTATGCATATCTTGCTGGTTTTCAACTGTACTGACAGTCTTTATTTATGAATAATACTCATTAGCACATCACATTTCAGCATCTTGTTAATATAAATTAAAATTTTTTAGAGGTCATGAAGACCTTGAAAGTAATTTTTTTTAAAAGTTAATACAGATACAACATTAAATATTGCCATTTTACTTTAAATATACATATTTATTATCAGTTAGTGTATCATAAAACAAATATATTTTTTTTTTTTAAATTTGGATTTTTAAGATGACTTGAACAGAAACTTTTCGTGATACATGTATCAAACATAAAAAAAACTTTACAAAAACATTTCTAATTGCTGATCATATCAGAGAGATCATAATAATTGTTTTACAAATGACTTTTGGATATAATTTGATACATGTACAGGTTTCATTGGAAAGTAGGCTAATTCTAAATTTAAAGTTCAAAGGTGGTTTGTGGCAAAATGGATCCAGTCTTTTATCTATAAAAATATGCAAATCAAAGTTGCATTTTTTTGTTGATGTAAAAATGAAAGTGCTCATCAAAAAAAAAGAAAAACTAAAAGGAAAAAATACATTTACTCCCAATAGTCATTTCTGAGTATATACATGTACATACCACAAATTACTTATAATGACACTGTATTAAAATGGTAGTTCAGTAGGTCAAATCTAAACAAAATTACAGTACAGGGAGTATGATGTAACTGTTATGTACATAATCTAGACTGCAGCACTACATGTACTTTAAGTGCATTAATAATAAAATAAACAATTCCTGCACATCAATAAAATTTTCAAAAGGATAGGTCTTCTGTCTACCTGTAAATGTGCATTTTTCCAATTCTTGAGATAAAAAACATACATTTACTGGTAATTAATATCTTTCACAAAAAACAGATTGGCAGTCTGAAGGAAAATACAAAAATGTTAATCAACAACTTAAAGATCTTGTTTGAACTTTACACCAAGTTAATTATACAGGAAATTAACAACTTGTTTTGAAAGGTACTGCAATCTATTTTAAGTCTGCAGTGAGATAATTTTAAGACAACCTATAATATTGACAGCCTATAATATTGAATGGGTAATAAACTTTAGCAGACTGTTAAACATGGAGTAAACAGCTGATGTGCATATAAAAATGTAAGCCACTATAATTAGAACTCTTTAAAACAGAGCTGACACACCAGAATAAGCCTATAATCAATATATGCAGGCCTGACAACAGGAGCATGAGGTCTAGTTTATATGACAAACTGAAAATGGTAAACATACTGTTGACAAGCAATTCATCTACTAAAAAAAAATATAAATATAGTAGATGTACCATGCAAACTTGAAGATCCCCACCCCCTCCCAACAAAAAAAAAATTAAAGAAGTTGTACTACACCACAAGTGACACCCCTTTTTAAATCTTTAAAACGCAAACAAAACATATTAAAATGCTGGCACTGTCAACTGATGCTCCCCAAACTGAACATTATTGGGAGAAAAATCTTCATAAATTTCAAGGTTTCAAAATATATGTATGTTTGGAGGTGGTATTGGTCAAATAAACTTAAAAAGGGCTGCGTTTATCAGGCATTTATGAGTGGGTCAAGTAAGTCTCTCCCTAGCCATTTCATCTAGCAGATGTTTGTTTTGATTTTTTAAACTGTTTTTTTTTTTCTGCAGACCACTTTAACATTGTCACATAAAAAAACTACCTCTAACTATTAATATATGTTACTATACCATTCTCTCTAACTGCCATAAGTTTTTAGCACTGTCATAACTTCATCAATTTCTTTCAGAAAATTATAAAAGATAATGTCTTTAACACAAGATGATACTAACAGTCAGTACAGCAAACATGCATGTAACACTTAGTTTAAATGGGGCATAGATTTCATCACAGTGTGAAATCTGTAATCCTAATCAACGTGCTAAACTGAACTAGTATAATAGACATAGCAGATGGTTTTCACCTGTTCAGTGTAAAACGAGTACAGATTATAACCATTCATTGATTGTGGGGAATATTTTTAAAAGAAATTGCTAGATTCTAAATTTCTATAAAAAAAATTAAATCACAAGGGTAGTGAGAAATATTGTTTGTTTCTATTGGAGATTGGTAAAAAATAAAATAACTCGGACTTTAAAAGAAAAATCTTGTTTGTGTATGTCATTGAAATGTTGTAAACATGTACAGTATATGTTCTGTTAGCAAGCGTTTATAATATAATAAATTATATCAAATTCTGTAAACAACAAAAAAAAAAACAATATGATATAAATATGACAAAAAACAACTGCAGATGAAGTTCCTAAAAGGCACAGGCATGGGACACAGAAACATACGGCAAATTCAGCAATTTTTCAATTTATAAAGGACACAACTCGAGAACAGTGAAAGTGACACCACCCAAATTCAAACCTGATCTGTGTTTGGTGGTAATAAGCATTGTGCATAAGTTTTATAACATTTGGTTGAGGCAAATTAAAGTTAGAGAACAGGAACTAATTTTGGGATGTACGGATCAGGGTAAAACTTAATGCCCCCTCCGCACAGGCAGGGGCATGAAATATATTATTTTGGCTTATAAACTCTTATGTTTCCCTGAAAGTAAGCATCAAGCATAATTTTCAGCAATAAAGTAAAGCTCATTTGCACATCTTTGCAAACAAAGAACAATTTTCCATTTTATGAATACAAAAGCTCAATGTTTTCAATATTGATTGTTCAAAAAGTTCAATGTTGAGCTTGCTTTTCAAGCAAAATATTACAATTGTAGGTAAAGTTGTCACTCAATAGCTGTTGCAAGAGACAAAACTGGACATACAAAATTAATAAATTTGGAATGGACTATTATCTATATACATGTACAACGTTATGTATTAAATTGATTCATTATAGTAAATTTTTCAGTAAAACAGAGAATGCTCACATGTACATGTATATTATATTAGAAATCATTAAACTAATTAAAATTTGCAATTTTATAAGTGATATGCAAAGGCATAATATTACACAGTATATATTTGCATGTCTTCTCAGATCAAAGACATGTACATAAAAAGTAACTTACAGTATTTTTGAATGCCTTTGTGCAATATCTGTCTTTGATAACTTTGATAATGTGTGCAGAACCTAAAATTAAAGATAGCTTTCATTTAGAATGAACAAAGCTCAAAACGTTTGGTAAATCAATTGGTAATAAAATAAATGGAGAATGTGTCCATGGGACACAGATGATGCCCCGGCTTGCATATAACGTTATACAAGAACATAACTAAAGAACTTGATTTGTGTTCTATGGTAAGAAGTATTGTGTATTTATATAAGTTTCATAACATTTGGTTGAGGCAAACTAAAGTTAGAAAACGGAAACCAATTTCTGGTTGAAAAGGGGGGGGGGGGAGGGGGGGGGAGGGGGGGGGGGGGGGGGGGGGGGGGGAGGGGGGGAATAAAGAGTTATAATTTTAAATTTGATTGAAATCTATAAATTTACATGATGTATTTACTATGAATCTGTTGGTCATGCCATCTTTAATACAATTTTTTATATTTGTGCACAGTCTTCATGAAAAGACAAAACTTTTTTTTTTGTAGGTTGCTGCAGTCATAATTGTAATACTAATAGCAGAGTTCTTGAAAAGTGGTGGTCTGAAAGTTTTGACCACAAAATTTTACGAAGTACGTATACCTATACAATTTTAGAATTTTGCAATAGAAATAATAGTGGGAGCCAGAAGATTTTCTTCAAGGATCACCAAGGAAAACTCTTTCGAGAATTCTGGTAACAGGTAAAAAGTGCTGTTTGTCACACAGAGTTTAAAACCATTTCACCAACTTTGACTACATGTACATGATGTAGTTACGATGGAATTTTAATACCCTCTCATTTTCTTTCTTATAGTACATAAATGGAAATTATAGCATTTTGCCATTTCAGAATATAAAAGAATATAAAGAACTAGGAAGGAAATGATTTACAACAAATCACTATAAAAGACTAGCAAGAGCGGTTTGTAATTAATCCCAATGCGTTAACAGTTTAACATGTTTTGAAATTCATCCAAAATATTCTGGTCTGAAATCCCTTATAAATCCTTTCAGTTTCAATATAAAGTTATCTTAAATATCATGTGTGTAGTATAGATTGATTTTGATTTTTGGTGTTTTCACGCCAATTTAAAGCACTGCTTTTGGGCTATTCGTGGCTGCCAGTTTTTATCGGTGATGGAAGCCGGAGTCACCAGAGAAAACCACCGACCTTCGATAGGAAAACTGACAATCCTAGTCAATTAAGATTGGAGTCGAGTGCACCCGCACGAGCGGGGTTCGAACCAGGGCTTCCAAAATTATTTTTAGCCAGCCGGACATTTTATATATTATCCCGATTTTAATCCCTTAAGACTAAATAAACAAAAGGCAATTATGGTAATCAGTTGCCGAGTTAGCCATCCCAATGATTGGCATAAAAAAAAACGATATTAACTTTCTTTGATTCAAATTCGAAGTTCTGACGTAAACTGTTTAATTGGCAGTGCATCATTCGTAGTGTGCAACAATAAATTACATCAGCGTACTTATATTTGCCTTAGACTCTTTATTTGTGCAAAATAACGTTGTCAAAAACTTTACTTTCGTTCTAAAATCTTATACCAGATGTTATCTTGACAATGGTAAAACCAAACTCCCCAGCAGTTCCAGCTCTGATCCGCATACTACTCTACACTAATGGAATAAAGGAAAAAAGTTCCGGAACAGAAACGATCACTGTACGGAGTTTGTGGTAAAACATGGACCAGAGACGGATACGTAAATTCCGTCTACGTTTGCAAAGCATGAATGAGTGGAAGTAGCTCCTTCTACGTTATTTCTTCAAGAAAATAATCGAAATAAACGTGAGATAAAGGTATCAATGACAATTTAAGCATTTTTTGAAGAATAAGAATGCATAATTAAATTTCACACCTGCGCACATGCGCACACGTGTACTAGTTCAAACAGAGACATGTCTCTAGTACAAACAACGTGTTTATGACGATGTTTCATTTTCACCTTTTTAATTTTTTCATCAAATCATATTGTAAACGTATTTCTGATAATTTAAATCTTTTTGATCTAAATTAATTAGATGCAAACCGCTGAAATGTAAGAAAATAACTTTGAATAGACCGATCAATGTCCGGTTCAAAATAGTTTACCTTTCACCTGAACAGGTAAATTTCAGCTGTTCGACAACTAATTAGCCTTGATTAAAATGAGAAGGTATTAAAGTAGGGGTTGTTTTGATAGTACTTTATGATAATGTCACTTTTATGACCGGAAATGTGTGGCTGTTAAAGGCAAAACGTTCGGTCAAAAAGATCGTGAATTATGTTAAAATGACTGTCTCTTAAAGCTTTGAAAACTAAAAAGTAGATGACCGTTTCATGCTTTGCCCAGCCGGACTTTTACCGGACATTATACAAATGTCCGGCATATATGACCGTTTTGGAAGCCTTGGTTCGAACTCACAACCTTAGTGTTAACTGGCTAGTGATTACAGTAGTAACTACTTAGACCACTCGGCCACAGAGGCCCCTGTGTAGTATAGAAGTATATTCTGGTAACAAACCAAAAATTTGAAAAATATACAAAGACAGTTCTTTTAATATATAAGAAATAACATGCATGAAAAAAATGAAGACCAGAAAATAAATACAAACCTTTCTGAAATCTTTTACATCAAACAAATCTGGTGGATCAAATAAATCCTGGTCCCTCAATCCAAATGAGTTCTTACATGTTGCAAGGAATGTACGAATATTCTTCAGGCATAAAAACTAAAAAATAAAATGTAGCAATAAAATATTGCATTTAAAAATATTGTGTCAAAGCATAAAATGGTGAAAAAACGACTAACTTACAAATACAATGGAATTAATTTACCAACTCCTTATATTGTAAAAAAATGTGGATAGTGTCCACATGTGGACACAGATGATGCCCCCGCTTGCATATCATATAGTTATAAAGGGACATAACTGAAGAACAGTAAAAGTGACACTACCCAAATTTGAACTTGATCTGAGTTTTGTGGTAATAAGCATTGTGTGTACATTGTAAGTCTCATAACATTTGGTTGAGGCTAACTTAAGTAGAGAACAGAAACTAAAAATTCAGCAATTTTTCTATTTGTAAATAAACAAGCACAACTCTAGAACGGTTGTGTATAAGTTTTATAACATTTGGTTGAGACAAACTAAAGTTAGAGAATGGAAAAGAAAAATTCAGCAATTTTTATGTTTATAAAGGGACATAACTCAAGAATGGTAAAAGTGTCGCCACCAAATTTCGTACTTAATCTGTATTATGTAGTAATAAGCATTGTGTATACGTTTCATAACATTTGGGGCCACACTTAAAAATATTTTGGTTTGCCCAAACGCTACCCAGAGGTAGAGATAGTGGGTAGGTAGGTAGGCATTTTCTTTTCTTTGCGGCAAAGAGAAATTGAAGTGTCAGATGTTTTTTAGTCTTCATGCCTATCTGATTAAAAAAAAACTTTTCACATCAGGACAATAAAAGATTTTAAGTAGGCAGGTATTTTCTGGGTAGGTAGGGTTAGGGCAAACAAACATATTCTTTTTTATGGCCTGGTTGAGGCAAACTAAAGTAAGAAAACGGAAACAAAATATTTGTACTTGACCTTAGTTTTGTGGTAATGAATATTGTGTATAGGTTTCATAATGTTTGGTTGGGGCAAACTTAAGTTACAGAATGGAAACTAAAAATTTTGAAATCTTTCGATTTATAAAGCCTATTAAAGGGGCAGAACTCAATAATGGTTAAAGTGACACTACCCAAATTCAAACATTGCATTGTATAAAGCATTGATTGTAGTTGATTCACCTATAATCATGGACAAAGGAAGATAACTCCAATTTTAAAATTACTTGATATTTAGAAGAAAATAAAAATTTTCCAATTTTTCCATTTATAAAGGGGCATAACTCTAGAACAATTAAAGTGACGCCACCAAAATTCAAACTTGATCTGTGTTTTGTGGTAATAAGCATTGTGTATAAGTTTCATAACATTTGGTTGAGGCAAACTTAAGTTAGAGAAAGGAAACTAAATATTTTGCAATTTTTCCATTTATAAAAGGATATAACTCTAGAACGGTTGAAGTGACGCCACCAAAATTCAAACTTGATCTGTGTTTTGTGGTAATAAGCATTGTGTATAAGTTTCATAACATTTGGTTGAGGCAAACTTAGTTAGAAAACGGAAAATAAAAATTTTGCAATTTTTCCATTTATAAAGGAGCATAACTCTAGAACGGTAAAAGTGATGCCACCAAAATTCAAACTTGATCTGTGTTTTGTGGTAATAAGCATTGTGTATAAGTTTCATAACATTTGGTTGAGGCAAACTCAAGTTAGAGAACGGAAACCAATTTTGGGACGTAAGTACAGACAGACAAGGGTAAAACACAGTTGTTAAAGTTTGCTCCAATACTAAGTAATGCTTTAAGTTTTCTATTGTATTAATTTAATTATCTAGCCTTATCTTGTGGCAATGCCATAGCCATATCTTGCATGGTCACTCAATTGTACATACTTGTATGTGGGGTGTTTAATGACCTTGACTTCCCATAAGGGACTTGCAAAGACAGTGAAAAAGGTGCTACTCTGGGGGTGTTTAACAACCTTCACTTCCCATGAGAGGTACGTACATAGGAAATAAATAAATGTCATATCAATTTTAATTTCAATAAAAGAAGCATCGTCCTCTCAAACAATTTTCAAAATACTAATTTGTCTTTTTTTTTTCTAATCTTGTACATGTTGTAATTACCATTTAATTTGTATTTCATTGATATTTTTACCTATTTACATTATTTTAAGGAGGATACAAATGTAACTTGAAAAATATGGTAAAACAAGGGGAGTAAGTGTTTTTCAAATACACAGATAATTTATAAAGGCAGTAAGTTGGCTTATCAAGGTTAGTCTGAGGTAAAAGAATTTAATCTATAATGTTTGACAACCAAGCTACCAAGTGAAGCCATATAATTATCCAAATTCTTTAATTTCCAGGTAAAAATGACCTTCATCAATGGCACAAAATCTATATCAGAGATTGACATCGATGGCAATAAAAAATGGCAATGACATGGAAAAATGAAATGCAATTGATATCTAAAAAAACGGAAGATTTAAATCATTAACGGGAGGGATGGAAAAGGGCTTAAAATGGACATAATAGGCGCTGTTTCGAGGTGACGTTACGTTTTGTTGGCAACAGTTTTCCCAAATAGACTTAATAGGGCTTGGTAAGGGATTCTGAGGCAGCCAAATCAGAAAATTGCTTCAGATTCAGAATCCCAAAAAGGGATTAGCGGTTCCCCATACATTTCAAATGTCACAATGCTTATGTTATTACATTACAGTAAGAATTGATGGTTTAATTCAATGACATGGTTTAGCCCAATTGACCCTGGGTCAACTGGCTTAACTTACTCATAAAAGAACTCAAAATTGGTTTATGCCAAATTATGGAACAGAAAAAAAGTATAGGAAATCAATATCTGCCATGTCTGCAATGTGAATTTGAATGGGGAATAAGATCAAAATTGTTAATAGGCACTGATCAATAAAACTCTTCAAAAATGAGTGAAAAGAACAAGAGTGCATGGTTGCTATATTTGTTTATTTACAGCAATTTACATCAGGAAGTGAAAATAGATCCGATTGGCCTCTTTCCAAATCCTTATCTGTTGGTTTACTTTTTGCATATTTTTATTAACAAAGTCAAGAGATATATTTTTAGTACGTCTAATATTCAATTACATTTACATCATATTTTTTTCTTTAACCAAGGCTGATCAAAACGAAAACAAAACAAACCTGGGAAAGTTGAGGTCTTGGGCTGAAGTCCTTCAGGTCAACCACATTTGGACTAAGATTATTCAGTAAATGACAAATCAAAACACCATCACGTAAAGCCTGTGCTAAGTCGAATGCTGCAGCATCTGGTCCCGTCGTTTTGTGGTCATCTGGCAAAATGTGACAGCGAACCAACCAGTTCGCACACTGTCGCCACTCGTCCGCCATTTTATCTTCACGGATTCCTTGACCCGGAACTTAACTGTAAATGATTATGTATTCATATTTGTAATTCAGTAGGACTGTCTCAATTAAAGAAATCAATTTATGTTGGATTATACTACATAAAAATCGTAAAATAATTAGCCAGTTCATCCACAATTATTTATACGAAAATATAAGTTTTAGCTTTACCTGCAGGTGCCCTTAGGGGACGACCATTTGATATTCTGGGGGGGGCCAGGAGGATTTGTTTTGGATCGGTTATTTATTTTTGTAAATTAAGAGGACAGATTATCTATTTTCTGCACTATTGAAGCAAGATTTTTCATTTTCATTAAAGCAAGGGACTGATTATTTATTTTCACAACTATATTTATAATATTCGAAAACATACAATTTTTAAATTATTTGTTTATTATAAATAATTCATGTATAGTCAAGTCATTATGTACCATTTAATCAGAATTAGTTATTATCCTCTGCAGAAATGAATCTTCTATATTCGCCAATGCATATACATGTATTGCATACATACACAGTATTAAAGTTTGGTTGTAACTAAGGCTCTTTTAAAAGTATTGGCAAACATGTTTTGCCGAGCGAAGCGAGGCAAAAATTTTTTTGAAGGGTTTTTGAACCGCTGAAGGCCCAAGAAGCTATAGAACAAATGATGCAAAATCATGCCTTATGGGTGTTCCCCAGACCCTTTCTTAAACTGAAAATGCAAGTTCTTTTTTAATAATTTTATGACAATATTTTGGTCTCAAAGCAAAATCACGTTATAGATTCAGTGTAAGAACAGCATCAAAAGACAAATATTTATGATAAAGCAAAAATGTAATTCACATAGTTAAGTCTGTGGCTGCTGTGTTTTTTTAAACTCATGGTCAAATTAATAATAAAATTATTAAATTACAAAATGAATGCAACACTAACAGAATACAGAAGGGCAATCAATGAACAAAAGACAAATAAATAAGAAACATTGATCCCGAAAAATCAGGGGCTACGTCTGAGGGAGAACAGAACTTGCTTCTTGCAAGGCACTCACGGTGAACACAATTTGATATAAAGACAAGCGTTTGGTTTTGGAATTTCCTACATGAGGCATTTGTCTCAATGTAGTTACGGCCCTGATTTAATAAAAGTGAGGTAAGTGTTCCTGAGACAATTAACCTCAAGTTAAATGAAACCAATTTTCTGACATTTCAAGTATATTTAAATAATATTTATACTTTTATTATTAAAAGATATGGGAAGTGTTTCCCGATTTTTTTTTTGGAAAAAAGATGAATTTATGAAGAATCTGATGCCATCTCATACTTTCGATTAGACCTGCTGAGTTATTTATTTTCAATACATTGCAAGTCAGGTAATTTATTTTCAAACTACCACAGAACAAACCATTTATTTTTGTGATTATCAAGGCTGAGTTATTTATTTTCAAAATCCTCCTGGCCCCCCCCAGAATATCAAATGGTCGTCCCCTTACTGAGCACACTGCTTCTTGTTTCTAAGGCCTTCCTGCTTCACAAGAAAAATCTCTTCAAAGATCATAACAGAAAATATTTCTAGGTAATTAGACTAGTTAATTCCTTATGAGAATGTTAATTAGACAATTATTCATACAATTTAATGATATCTGGATTTCAGATGAAACTGAAATACTCAGTTGACCCCAAACATCAATGCATCAGCTGAACTTGAATGATGTTATGCATCCTAAAATATTAAAGAAGATAGTATATGGAAAATCACATTACTCAATCATTGACCATTATTTTGGTTTAATTGTGAAATATTGTCTAGATCTGCTTCTCAGTCAATTAACTATTTCGCATGTATGTACAAATGTACACCATTGTACACACTTGGTGTTGATTCTAAGCCTTGATTGGCAATAGATGTCTTTCAAATTCTGCACTTTCCAGAACATTTCCTATGTCACAATGCTTATGTAATTACATCACAGTAACAAATGATTGTTCAATGACGTCATTTACACCAATTTTATTTACCTCTAGTCAGGTCCAGACCTACTCGTTCATAAAAAACCCAACTTGAGATTGGTGTACATACCCCTCTTGATCAATATTAATAAATTGTTAATTGGACGAGTGATATGTCATTCTTCATTATTTCTCTCAAAATTCTGGCACATTTGTACATTGACAACATGCTCAACGCTGATAAAACTGATTTTACAGAAGAAGAATCTGAAATTGAAAATGTGCACAACCTACATGTACATGTAGTGGTTCATACAGATTGATCGATGGTTAAAAAAGAAAATAAGAAATTTTAATAGTGAAATAGTTCAGACCATAAACATTTCCAGGCAGTGATGTAAACATGGTAAACAGAGAACTGTAAATTCAGAAATTTAAATGTGTGTATTTATGATTGCGATCATAACTCTTTGACCAATTGGCTAAAATCTTGAAAATGCAAAATCTAATTAATGCGATTCAAAAAAATTAATGAATGAAAATCACCACTTTACTTATCATGTGAGTTCTTATTAATGCGAACCTGATGTTGTCACATTTTTCAAATCTATAAAAAATGTCGCAATAGTTAATAAATTAACAGTACGTTGACATTGATTAAAACATCTGAACGCACAGACAGACAGACCATGTAAATGTTTATGCATTGTACATGCATGGTCTGGATGGTTCATTCCTGATTGTCTAACTTTTTTAAAAATTTTAAACACATCTAAAAGTCTTTCTTCTTTTCTGTAAAATTGATAATTATTTCTTTAATATATGCAAAGTTATTTCTGACATGAACATCATATCACTGTAATTATTCTCCATAAAAATTTTGAATTCTAAATCGCCATAGAAACGTTGTACTTGGATCGAGCTCTTAACCTAAGCATGCTAAGTGTCTATCATCATCGAAATTTCCCTTTAATCATATACAGGTCTTATTTCTAGGGTGTGACTGATGCAAGTGCTATAACAATATTATTCAACATACCTATTAAGTCCATTTCCCATGATTTCCTTATTTTATTCTTCAACAACAGCATAAAATATTATAATCTTCTCATTTGTTGACTGATTTGCTTCTTCAATTAAATTTCAATCAAATTTTTTTTTTAAACCTGACAATTTTTATGACAAAATGTGAAACAATTCAGAAGAGAAAACTATGGGCTAAATGAAGCCCTGTCATAGATTAAAAAACATATGGCCTCATTTATACAACTATGAACAAAAAGCAAATACGGCAGACAGCAACCAATGACAACCAATGGATTACAGAATTCTGGCTTAGGACAGACAGGTAAAAAATGTAGCAGGGTTTAACATGTTTTTGAGTCCGCAATCCTTCCCTAATCTGGGTCTGTGGTGTAACGACAGAACAACATAAGAACAAACTGTAAAAATCTTCTTGAAAGGGCTTGACTCATCAGCACAACAAAAAACACCTATCTAAAAGTTCATGCCTTAACTAAAAGATAATTCATAGCCAATATTCAGCTAATAAATAAACCATGTTCTAGACTAAAAAGTCAATCAATACACCTCCTACAGATTTAGTGTGAAAACTCATTTGATCTCATGTTAACAGTTTTTACTTTGACTGTTATATGCTGACATAAATATTATTTGATTTGATGATATACAAACTCTATAAGCATGATTAGTAGACGAAAGCCCTGTCAGGGTTAAGAATGAGCCCAATTACACAATGTACAAGCAGTTGAATAGGAATATGATTCTCTTCTAGCAGGATTATAATATATACAAGTGTATGTGTTATAATGTTAAGTAATATAATTCTTTGTATAAATCATTTGTAAACATTAAAGATTTGATTAGTGGTCAGATGAATGTATTCATAAGTCCAGATATTACTTCTTAGTCTGAATCATGCCTCAATATTTGCTGAAACTTGAGCCTTTGAGCAAATGGAAAAACTTCATGCAAAATAGGGTCAGTGGCTAAACTGTTCAACTATCAAGGTAGTTATAAATAAACAGGTTAAAAATGGGAGGAAGGTTTAATTCTAAGAAACTGTTTGGAAAAATTTGACATTTTATGTCAAGATTTATTGTCAAACTTTTGAATGGTTTGTTGTCGAGCCTGCGACTTCTGTTGCAGAAAGCACGACATATGGATAGTAATCCAGCAGCTGCGGCAGCGTAAGCTAACTTCTTAAAAGCTTTATATTTAGAAGGTGGAAGACAAGGATGCTTCATACTTTGTATGAAGATGCCTTATGTTATGAAGTTTCCGTCTGTCATATGTCCATTGTCCTTGACCTCATTTTCATGGTTCAGTGACTACTTGAAAAAAGTTAAGATTTTATGTAATGTTAATTTCTTTCTTATTATTAGTAATCATGGTAAAAGGATAACTATATTTAGTATGTGCGTACCTTGCAAAGTCCTCATGCCCATTAGACAGTTTTTATCTGACCTCGACCTCATTTCATGGATCAGTGAACAAGGTTAAGTTTTCATGGTCAAGTCCATATATCAGATACTATAAGCAATAGGTCTACTATATTTGGTGTATGGAATGATTATAAGGTGTATATATGTCCAACTGGCAGAAGTCATCTGACCTTGACCTCATTTTCATGGTTAAGTGGTCAAAGTTATGTTTTTGTGTTTTGGTCTTTTTTTCTAATACTATATACATTAGGTCAGCTATATTTGGTGTATGGAAATATTTTATGATGTACATGTCAGTCACGCAGGTTTTATTTGACCCTGACCTCATTTTCACCGTAACACGGTTCATTGCTCTGTTAAGTTTTTGTGTTTTGGTCTGTTTTTCTTAAACTATAAGCAATAGGTCAACTATATTTGTTGTATGGAAGAATTGTAAGGTGTATATGTCTGTCTGGCAGGTATTAACTGGCCTTGACCTCATTTTCATGGTTCATTGGTCAATGGTAAGTTTTCATGGTAAAGTTTGTTTCTTAGATACTATAAGCAATAGGTCAACTATATTTAATGCATAGATTGATTGTAAGGTGTACATGTCTGTCTGGCATGGTTCATCTGACCTTGACCTCATTTTCATGGTTCATTGGTCAATGTTTAGTTTTCCTGGTTAAGTCTGTTTCTTAGAACTTTAAGCAATAGGTCAACTATATTTGGTGTATTGAATGATTGTAAGGTGTACATGTATTTCTTGTTTGGTTTATCTGACCTTGAGCTCATTTTCTTGGATCATGTTAAGTTTGTGTGATACTTGTAGTAAAGCTTCATATTTAGGACTATCAACATAAAATTAATGGTCAGTCAAGAAGGCTAGACATTTCAGCGTGTGCACTCTTGTGAAATCTTTGTGTGTAATTTTCAGTTGTAAGTTTGCTAAAGTTGCAATTTAATTATAATTATAATTCCTGCTGTACATGACTGTCTGGATGGTTTCATATGACCTTGACCTCATTTTCAATGTCATGTTAAATTTTCATGGTTTTGTTAGTTTATCAGATACATGTACAATAAGCAATATTTCAATTATATTTGGTGTATGAATGATTGTAAGGTGTACATGTCCCTCTGACAGGGTTCATATGACCTTGAAATCATTTGCAGGGTTCATTTGTATTTGTTAAGTTTTTTTGTGGTTTTGTCCGTTTATCAGATACTATATTTAAGCAATTATAGGTCATCAACTATATTTGGTGTATGGAATGATTGTAAGGTGTACATGTCTGTCTGGTATGGTTTATCTGAACTTGACCTTATTTTCATGGATTATTGATGCTGTAAACATGGTAAAGTGTATGTGATATCTGTAGTAGTAGTAATAACTTGGTATTCCAGACTTTTAACATAAATTCAGTCATGATGAGTAAGCAAGCCAGACATTTCAGCGTGTGCACTCTTGTTTCACACCTCATTACCAGCTATCGATACAGCAGATACAACAGGATATGTGTTCCTGATTGCTATTAAAAGCAATTGTTTGGGCTGTCTTGTACAGCATATTGTTGACTTCATTTAGTATAAGTTATTACTGTTATTTTCATAACATATTTGTTATACAAAACAAGTTGAGAAAATTATTTTTATATAGATGAAATCTCATTCCAACCAAAGTTTTTAACAGAAGATAAGTAAATGCTAACTATGTAGTGCAGACAGTATGCTTAACATAAATATAAAAGGTGTGGTCTGTAAAGGAATGAAATGTTATCCTGATTATTTAAGTCAGTACATCATAGCATGCATGATTGATCTAGATTAATACTTCAATGACATTATGTAACATGTTTTTTTTTTCATTTAACGTCTGGCTGATTTAATTTATTGCTTCTATTTCTTGTAACTAAAATTAGGATAAATCTGTTTTATTTAAAGTTTTACTAAAACAGTTTATTTATAATTTTAGTTAAAAACTCTTACATAATTATAATTTTATAATTGAAAAAAAGCATAAAATTAAGCACATTGGTTATAGTGTTAGCATGGTTAGAGGTAGAAAATAACATTATCTTCATGTTGATACATGTACTGGTAAACAATACTTATATGGTTACACAATTGACAGGAAACAGATAAATATTGTTGGCATCTGGTATTGGACAATCTTATCTCA